ATTGCTTACCATTGCAATCTGCCAGCGTGCGTAACTTCACATTAGGGAATGGGCCTTGCCCTGGATTAAAACCACGTCTCTACCCCCAGAGAAGAAATATATACCAAACTCACTTTAAAAAAAAAAAAATACATGCACTGTAATGCTGAATTGCATTTGTAATAACTTTTCACATAGATTAATGAGCCAGCTAAGAGATGGGAATAATACTTCAAATATTTAACTTTATTCAGTTGTTTCACACAGTAATATGGTAGCAAACATGTAAAATGCAGAATGCTTTGTGAAGCAACAACCTCAAAATAGTTTTTAAAAATGTGAACGCTGAACAATATTAATTTTAACATATACTTTCTGAAGACTGTATGTAGCTCTGTGCCCATTTAATATTCTCAAGCAGAGCGGGAGAGGACTGCCCAGCCTGGCTCTGCCTGCCGTCTGCTCTCTCAGGGAACCCTTCCAGGCACACAGTTCCCTGCTTCCCTTAATGTCTTTCTTTACTGTCTTTGTTTGAATTTTAGCCCAGTATCTATCCTCAGCACTTTGGGCCATAATGGTTTCATCCTTTTGGAATCCTTCTCTTCTACTTAGAAACCTATTCAGTTTCTTTTTATGATTTAAAAACTTGCTCAAATCCCATGACCACCCAAGTCTGAGAGAGCTTATAAACTCCAGCTCCAACAAGAGAAAATTTAGAACTAAATTTCTGCCAAGTTCAAAATAATACATTGGTCATACACTTGCAAAATCATATTTTTCCTATCTCTACAAAAACTAACATTTATACCAATAAACAGAAAAGGAATAGAGTAAGTGTAAATCTCAAGGCTTCTCTTTCCAAATCTGGACACATCACTGAACATTTTATATTGCCATCACAGCTGCTTGGGCGAGAGTAGAACTGAGGTGAGGAAACATTAAAATTTTCTGCAACTATCTCTGCCCCTAAATACCATAGATCATGTATTAACACCTTTTTCCAGGTGGGCACCCTGAATGATAAAAACAGGAAAGCCTACGCTAAAATTAAGTCGGCAGTAACCTTAGACTTACCTACAAGCTATTCCAACCTACTAAGTTGTGGCTTTGTAGATGTATATGGTAACTTCACTGAGGATGAGACTTCATTCTGAGCCAAACATTCTGAGCTGATCTGAAGTCAACAACAGCAGCTCAGGTAGACTCAGGATGCCCCTCTTGCTTTACACACAGGCCTTTGGAGGAATGCCACTGGGGAGCTGGCCACGTATGCGCCATGACCTTGGAGCTATGCAGAGACAGTAAACGAGAGAGCAACTTCATAACCTAGAAACAGTGAGAGAAGGTGAGACACCAGAAGACCAGCTTATTGGAAAGTGACCACTGAAGCTGTCCTGACAGCAAGAGGAGCTCCTAAGAGCTGCAGCCTGATTCAGCAGACGCTGGGGCTGAGGGAAAAGCCATCGGCCAAAAATGAAACAGTTGTTAAAAGATGGTCACACATGCGCGAGCGCCTACGCACGCAGACACACAAATGGTCTCCTAGCTAGGGGTTCTCGAAGATGTTAGACAACAGAATCACCTGACTCAACATCGTCCAAAATGGATGAAGATATGGCGTCAGGAGAGAGAGTATGCATTATTTATTTATTTCCCCCCCAAATGCCCCTTGCTCTGGAGAGAAAATGTTTTCTCCAGGCAACGTGATGGATTTCAAGGCTTTTTAATTCTGAGTAATGGTGTCAACCCAATTAAGTAGATACTGATTTTGAACTCATCCATCTCATCCAAACATAACTTAGGAAAATAAAGTCACTTTAAAATAGAGTCTAATTCTAATTAAGTAAATCTGCAGACTGTCATGGAGTCTCTCTCTGTGTCAGTTTGAGACAGACTTGGTAATGCAGGTCAGTCTCTTTAGTTTTCAAAACGGGATGCCGCCTGCCCCCGTGCATCTGGAGCTTAAATCACGTGGATACTTCTGTCATCAATGGGGAGGTGAGAGCTGCCCTCAGGCCCTGGTCGCAGGATTCCGCTGGAAACAGACTTCAAAGCAGCACTTGCCCAAGGCTTACTTGAGAGTGGACAGGTCTACTCTAAGGACATGTGAAATCTTTACTCTTGAGTTTCTCTAAGCTCTATCCCTGTGTTAAGGCAAATGTCAGGTTTTAAAAGAAAAACGGTCTGGATCACATTATGTCAATTCCCTATAGAGGGAATTTTAGCAAGCTAAGATTTCAATGTTGCATTTTTCACTTTGCTCAGTCATAATTTAAGAAACTACAATATGAAAAATATGATGTTCCATTTAATCAGGCTGTATAAAGGACTTAAGATAACTTCAATTAAAATATTCACAATCCATTTTCCTGGAATTAAGGAAAATAAAATATTTATTTCTCTACATAAGGTTCTGTAATGTTGTATATATGGGCACACAACCTGGTTTAAATTCCAACTCTTTCACTTACAGGTTGTGTGATGTTAAACAGATTGTCTCACAGGTGAAATCAGGATAATCATAGTATTAGCCTCATAGGATAGGGGTTACATAGGTTAATATATGCAGAGAGCCTACATGAATGGCGTCAATGAGCTACTACAAAAGCACAGGGAAGACATGACAATAACTTGCACTAGGTAAGCAGCAAGAGAGGTAAAGAGAAGCAAATTGAGCGAGAATTGGGAGGTAAGATTGGCAAGTCTTGATACTGAATTGAATATGGGATGTAAAGTCGAAGAAAGATTTCTGATATTACACTTTAGATTTAGGGGTTATACAACTGGAAGAGAAATTATATCACTTGTAAAAATGGAATCCTGCTATTTGAGAAATATACGTATTGCAGAGTAAGGGCAGAGGGACTGGTGAAGCCATCAGCTTGTGTTTATATAGAAATAACACATAACGACACAAGCAATTTCATTATTTACTCAACACCTTCACCCCGGCAACAAAGGCAAGACAAGACCCAGCTGCCTGGACCTTTTATCTATACATCTTAAGATGAATATTGGCTTCTTAGGTCTTCTCTTTCCATAAGCTTTAATCCAAATATATTTCCACCTTAAAGTCTTCTGAAGTTAGAAGTTGATATTTATTTATTGAATTTATTTAACATACTGTGTTAGAAGGAGGATATAACTATAGGGCTCAAGGCCACCCCTGGAACCCTCCCAACTTGGCCTCTGCACAAATTAGGTGTCCCAGTGTTGAACAAAATCCACATGGTGAGCCTGGGTTCAGGTTGACTCCAATAGTGGACAATGAAAATGGGTGGGTTGAAGGCTGGACAATGTAAAAGGTAGATGTCGCACGAAAGTTTAGAGACTAATAATAGTATCTCACAATGTATCAGAGCCAGCTTTGCCAACAATTGTTTCCTAAGATAATGACTAAATTCCTCAATTTTATTAAGTATTCATCAGCAATGATTTACTATGCACTGAAGCATAAAATGCTTCAATTCATTCACAGACTAGCTTTTCTCTTTTTGATAAGTTTATATTACTCATTTTTCTATAAAGTAGAAGGCATTACTACAGTTCAAGTTATAAAACTTTAGGAGGTAATTTTTTTTTCCTGTTTTTCTCCTTCCAGGCCAGATTTAATAAGTGGTATTAAAGGTTTTCCAGAAAGTAAGTCTTATTCTCATTTTCACAAAATTTCCAAACATTTTGATAATTGCTAAGTAAAAGTCATTTTTAATGTCACACATGACTATAGTTTACTAAATCTAAGCAAGTATGTAATTTAATGTTTCTTTTAAAAATAACTTTTATTCTTAAAATAATAATTATTAGAGGCTTTTAGAGATTTTCTGTATGGGAGAACATAATTTCCTATTTGAGGCTCACCATAAAAAAATACAGTAATAATATAAATGAACTAAAAGAGACTAAGATATTTAAAAACAAAACTAAACAGAATTTGAATATGACACTGTGATATATTAAAATTAGTCTTAGATAGCAAAAATCTAACCAAATAGGCAGATTTCAGGGACTTTGAAAATATAATTTCTGTTTCTCATTAATTTCTTTAAAAATGTTGTTTTATTCAGGTATGTTAAGGCATGGTAATAAACTAGATTAATGACTCTTTAAAATAACTTAATAAAACCATATGACATGGGAGCAGTTTTTTTTCTGTGTATAGCATGTACAGGAGTAAGAACTGTGACAATTAAAGAGAACAACCGATATAGTAATGTAGGGGTTGAAAATAATTTACAAAATTAATTTAATAAAATGTCTAGAACAGTAACAATTATCAACAAAACACTGAAGCTGTCTGTATTTGCACTTAACAACACATTTAAATCAAAGTTGAATTAATATAAAAATAATATGCAGTGAACTGATATCTGACATAAGATACAATAAAAATTCACGTCCACATTGAAGGCCTAAGCTATGACAACATCTCTATATGCTTTCTAAATACCTTTTTACTTCAATTTTTCAATTGTGGAAGCAGCACATTGCAGCCTAATAATGTCAACTGGAATGTCCAAAATATTTCTTAAAGTAGAAACACTACAATTCCCCTAACCAGAGCAGATAAAATAATTTAATGTATTTATTTTAACAAAAGGTCCATGGTTACTAACTTTGAACTATAGGTTTTGTTTTTTTAAAAAAATTTCTAGTACTAACTGTGGTTCTTAAAGCTATCTACAGTTGATATTTGAATTGTCATGCTCTTTCTGAAAGGAATATATTTATCCTGAAAGTTGTACTGTAATTGACCCCTAAAATTTACTCAATGTGGAAAAGTTTCATCATAAAAAAATCTACTATTTATATATGTCAAGATTGATTCAACTACATTTTGTAGGACAAGCACAGATTTCTATATCGGACAAGCTGGGTTTCAGCATCTTACTTTCTACTGTGATCCTGGGAACATCACATACCTCAGTTCCTGAACTGCGAAATGAGAACATCACCACCATTTCCAAAGGGTAGCGTGCAGGGCACAAAAAGCTAGTGCATGTGCCCAGGACCAGGCTAGGCACGGTGTAGTACCCTAGGTGTTAATGTTTTTTTCTTTTTCTCTTTCCCAGTCCTAGTAAATTTTGGTTAATTGGAGATTAGTGAAAAAAATATAGAAGTTACTGGAATAAATCAGCTCCACTAAAAACTCATTATTTTGCAGGCAATAGTTATATATTTCCAAAGTAACATTCAATAAGATCAAAAGATTGGTTTTAAAAATGTATTTACATATTATAATTCATATGGCAAGAAAAGATTCTTTAGGGCAACAATAACAAAAAAACAAATAAACTACACCTGTGTCAATAGGTTTGTAAAATGAAGAAAAACACCCCACTTTTATTAAATGTTGAATGTTCATGGACAGCTAACAGAAACAAAGCTACTTCAAAGAGCAATATACATCAACATCAAAAAATATCAAAATAGAGTTTCTCTGAATGAAAGAGCCGGGTTGTTTTTTTTTTTAAATGGTTGATAATAATTACAAGTTCCCGTTATTTGTCCATGAAACCTCCTAAGAAAGGTGCTGCTTCAGACAGGATTCTTATAGAACTTGGCACATAAACTTTAACTTTTCAAACCACCCACTACTTTTCATCTTCTTATAGCTTCACTCACTCAGACAAGCTCACATATACATACATTAATATTAAAAACACACATGGCTTTAAAGCAGAAAATCATTTTCTACAACAAAAGCATGTCAACATATTTATACTCAGTATTCTGTCCCAGAAATGGACTGTCCTCATAGAGCTGCTAATTAACATATACTATTATGTTCAATATTTCAAAAGATATGTTTCTAGAAGGATCTGTTTGATCATGTGCAAGAATTCTAAGGCATTAAAAGTAGCTGTTCCACAGGACAAGTGCTGCCCTTGCAATGACACACTCTTGATACATTTAACAAGTCTTTAGTCTTCAAATGCCGCCAGCCAGACACAGGGAGACACTCATAGTCTACAAGTGGTTGGCTCAAAGGTCAAAAACTTTGTTTAAAAAATGTTTATGGAATAGCACCATAGAAAGTCTTTCAGAAACAAATTCTTTTTTCCAACATTGCATTTTTAAAAAGTGAATCCCAGGAAGAAAAAAAAAAGAGAGAGAGAGGTCTTTCAATTCTCACAAGGCCTACTTCCACTTCATTTCATTTCATTTTTTTAAATACAACGTTAATCATAACAGCATCAACAGTAACAACTACAACAGATCCACAACAGAAGAAAGACAATAGCAGCAGTGGTAACTTGAGTATGAGCCATTTGGCAGTCACTTAGAAGAATCCTGTTCACACCTGTTGGGAATTTTCTCATAAAGTTCATAAGACATCGCAAGGCTTCTTGGATTTGGTGTGAAAAGGCAGCATTTCCACTGAAAGAACTGAGTTTATTGATCAACTGGGCACTTTCCAGCACTTAAATAAATGATGTCTACAGTTTAACTGCAATAATAGAAACTTTTGACATTTCAAACTTGTCAAAATATCAGTAAAATAAAGTGGTCTCAAGATGATTTGTGTTTCAAAGAGGTTAATCTGGCCTGCAAGTGAAAATAATGAAGCTGAAATATTCCAGTTTCCAAACATTGGACCCACCTACATTTAAAATACAAATCACCCTCTAAAGACTGCCATTTCATAACTAACCTTATATGGATCTGGTTTACACTGCGTCCAAGATACAAAGTCAAAGCAATTATCCTAAGAAACAAGGAGAGGGTTTTCTAGTTTATGACCTGCAAGATCATTTTATTTCCCCCAAATCTTGTAAAATTGTCAAAAAGAACACTCTGCAGGGTCACAGGCCCCGACCCTAACGGTCTGATTTGTGAGGCATCTGTGTCAAGCTGTGAACAAAAGCTTGTGGAGTCTTCCATGAAACACACGATGCCCTTTCACCAGCTTTATTTATATCGTCAAGCATGGAGTTCAGATATCCTAGTAACGCCGATCAGTGTTAGCTGGAAATGTCTCTTTCAGTACAAAGAGAATTCTGGTCATACGGTTTTCTTCTGTTATCATTCATTATATAAAACATTTGTGCTAATATCTTCATTTAATAAAAAATAGGTCTTCTCTCCATTACACATATTCCTTTATTTTCTGGAGGAGGTTTTGGTATTAGTTATTATTGGGTATGCATGATATCTGGATATCTAATGCTTTTGTATCTTATATGAAATCCTTTCTTGTTGATTGTGTCATCAGTGTGGAAATGAATTAAAACTGCATCTCCGATTGAATAGATCTCTTCTGGTGGCTGAAGAAAAAACAACAAACAAATGAATGAACAGTAGAATGAGTCCTTTTCTCTTTAATGTAATTCATGTTTGGGAATTTTTTGAGGGGGTATATAATTTAGTCATTTTAAAGCCATAACAAGTGAACACGAGTGACTCCTTCATTTCACAGAGGGGAAACTTGAGTTTTCAGAGGAGCAAATGACATGGTCAAGGTCACATGGCTAGACAGGGACATTGCTGGGCTTTGAACATACATAAATCTGTTTCTAAGTTCTGGAACTTGGTGTATTTTCCCCCAAATTTTTAGGCCAAGTTCCTTTGATTTACAAATAAAGTGAAGCCGAGAGGATAGAGAGCCATTAAACTTGTTTCAAGGGCTGTTCTGAGGAAGAGTCATATCCAGAATCCAAACTGTCCATTCCTTCTTGTTTGAATAATATAAGTTCTAAGAAGGCTTTTGGTTTCTTTTCAGTTGCTATTTGGACAGGAGGTTAATAGTATCATTTAAGTAATAGATACTGATAAACATTCAAAAACTTGGGACTAGTATCTTCCTAACAAAGTATATATTCAGAAGACAATTTGATATTAGTGCAGTAAATTGTGGGGGGAAAAAGCACTGAGAAAATGTTAAGCTTTTCGTTTCTTCCTCTCTTTTTTTGTTTTTTATTTTTAGGTTCTAGTCCAGTAGATCTGGGGTCCATCCTGAGAGTCTGATTTTAAAAAAATATACATACAATTTATTTATTTATTTTTAGAGAGAAGGGAAGGAAGGAGAAAGGGAGAGAAACATTGATGTGAGAAACATCTATTGGCTGCCCCTTGTATGCACCCTAGCCGGGGACTGAACCCATAACCCAGGTATGTGCTTTGACTAGGAATTGAACCAGTGACATTTTGCTTTGTGGCATGATGCCCAACCAACTGGACCACACCAGTCAGGACTCTTTTTTTTTATTTCTCATGGTGACTCACTCTGACCTGTATCTGGTGTTTTGTCCTATACACAAGTGACACTCTGCAGTTGAACAACATCCAGCTGAGCACACACACCAGTGGGGGACCACGCCAAATATATTTGTTGTAAAGAGAATATCAATCTGAATGGTGTGCACATTCTTTTTTCTTTTATGTTTTAATTTAGGGAGTGACAAAATTGTCAAATGTGTGTATAAGTATATTCCATTTATATTATTAAAAATTTAAATATTCATTGCATTATAAAACCAAAAACATAAAATTTAGAATGTGGACAGTAACAAGAAATTATAACTACTGAATTCATCTGTCTTATTTGCTATTTTTGAATAAATTCGTAAGAGATGGGAAGTGGTAAGAAGTGGCAAGGCAGGTTATAATGTGTCAAGCCAGTCATAATGTAACTTTTTTTTGTAAAAACACTGCTGTTTGGTATATGTTACAGGGGCAATCACGAGTCAACAGGCATTTTTTATCACGTCTATGGTATCCTGCTGGCACGATATTTACCCCTGATCCACAGAAGCGACCGAGCCCCACCGCTGTCGAATCGAGCCCACCAAAGAGTTCAACGTAGTCATAGCCACAGTCAGCCTCTTCTTCTACTTCAAAAATCGGGAAGGATAACTCCAGTCGTGAGCTCCGTTCTGCCACTAGCAGCCACTCACAGTCGACCTGGGCTGGGTAGTTGTTATCGCCAAACTGGGCGTGCGAGTACAGGTCCCCCGGAGCGGACCCGGCTCTCAGGCGGCCGCCGCACTCTGCCGGGGGGGGGGAAGAAATGAAAACAGTGAGTTCGAGAGTTCGAGGAGGTCCAATTTCTTTCTTTCTCTTTTTAATTTTAAGTTATGATTTTATTTTTTTAACTTTATTTTTATTGTTGACACTGTTACAGAATTTCAATGGAGTCTAACCCTTCTCTAACTTCTAAATTTATTTCTGGCTGAAAATGACAAAGACATTATTATTCAATATTATTGAAAACTTCAGGAAAATGGCATAGTTTCAAAAAAAATGATTTAAAATATTCCAAAGGGTCCTGCTTTTGTTTATCTGTTTCAGTGCACAACTGCATTCCTATAAATCACTCAAAGAGTCCTATGCATTGTGTCCTATGGGTTCCTATGGATGACTCAAAATAATAAATCTGGAATTAATTTTCCAACCATGAAAAGAAAAAAGAAGAGAATTTAGTCTGCAGGATCAATTTTTAAGGACCAACATTTGATTATTACATAAAAGAGGCGTGATTTTTATACGCCCTGAGAGAAATACCATGAGCAGAAAATACCAGGCAGCATGAGGGCACTTGCCCGTGAGTGCTCCTAAAATATGTTCCATGTGTCATTTAGCACAGCCCCTTTAAAAGAAGATTTTTAAACAGGGCAAACACATTTCCTGCAAATATCCCAATTCATTTACTGAGTCAGAAAAACATAAACAGAGTAGTTCAGCAGGTCAGCAATACCATTTTTAAATGGACTGTTTGAAAACACTTTGCAAGCTGCTGGAGCATCGTCTACAGAATTCTGGGAAATGGAAAATGAAGCTCAGTAAGGAAGGGAAGAGAAGCCCAGGGGTGGCCTTCATTTTAATTTGGAAAGACAAGTTTGTTTATTTCCTGGTGAGGTCCTGTAATTTGACCTATAAATGCTTTTAGTGGGCATTCTAATTTGAGTTAGATCAAAATAATTTCCTTTCTAAAAAGCTTAATAATGTATCATTTGGTTTTTAATGGCACTGCCAGACAGTGTGATGGCCTGTGCTCCGGAGAAGTCCTACCAGACAGGGCCACATTTTAAAACACTACTTTCCCTCCACATTTCCCTCTTTTTTCTTTATCATAGGTATCTTCTGAGCAAATACACAGGATTTTTTAAATGAAAAGCTTTGTTTCTTGCAATTAGTTTACTTAAAACATTTACTCCGTGATTAAAGTAAATTTGGACCTACAAGAAATCAGCTCTACTGTCAGAGAAACAAGAGTCTCCAATAAAGTCCATTTCCCATGGATTCGGGTGGTAGTGCTTAAGGAAAAAAGAGCCATAAAGCAATATTGAAAGATATTTCCAATCACCTGGTTACAAAATTCATAATGTTAGAAGCTTTCCTTGTGGATACAATTAAAATTGTATGCAGAAATGTATATTTAGTGACACAAATGAAAATATATACCTCAGGGCCCATTGATAATAGGCACATGTTTTCTAGAAGGCAGTAAATAATGCACTTTATAAATGTAGCAAAAAAGTGGACAGATATGGTATTGGACTTGGCTGTCTTGTTAGTAGAAACTGACTGAAAATCAGTTTAATTTATCAGATTGTAAGCCGTCCACAGGCAAGAATTCCTTCTATTTTCCTATAAATCCCCTCAAATTTCTAACTTTCCTTCATGGATTACTAATACCATACACTGTCTATCCAAAGACTGTGCTAAATTAATATTTGATGAAAAACTGTGGAATAAAAGCTTGTTGAAAAGAAAGCTTTAGGTAGAAACACATAGCAGGCAGCATGTAAGAATATTTCACAAGATGTGGCTACTAGAAAGTAAAATAAATCTACCCAGTGTAAAATAAATCTACCCAGAAAATTCCAAGAAAGCTGGTTAAGGGAGTGCAAAATTTATACATGAAGGAAAATAAAAACACACATACAAACAATAGCAAATAAGAAAACATTGGGAAGCCAGGACTCTAATTCCAACTGTTATTTTTTGAGTTACAGAGTTGTCATTTAAGTTTCAGTCTCAGAATCCTCATTTCTAAGAGGACAGTGCTGGATCAGACAGTCCCAAGGCACACATTACTTAACAAAATGAAATTGCGGTTATTCACATGGGTAATTTGAATGGATATGAACTGCATAGGGGAAAAAAATGAGACTCATCAAGTTAGATTCTTTGGACAGAGGATTCGTTTAAAACTTACATGTGGAAGCATTCAATCTCTACCTATTGCTTCAAATACAGTGGTCCATTTTTGTATTGGTTTCCCATCTCATCCAAAATTTGTACATTAAGATAAAATATACTGTAGTGAAAAGTACATAAACTTTAGAGACAGCATTAGGATAAAAACCAGGCTTTGACATAATTTTAGAAATCTTTGCAAATTAATAACTCCTCCGGATTTTCAATTTATTTGAAAACTAAAAATAGCCCTGGCCAGGTGGCACAGTTGGTTGGAGTGTTGTTCCATACATCGAAAGGTTGCTGGTTCCATCCCAGGTCAGGGCATGTGCCTACATTGCCGGTTTGAGTTCCCAGTCAGGGTGTGTATAGGAAGCAACCAATTGATGTTTCTCTCTCACATGGATATTTCTCTCCTTCCCTTTCCCTTGCCCTCCCCTTTCCTCTCTCTCTAAAATCATTAAACAATAAATTAAATAACAGCTACATCATATAGCTCTTTTGAACATTTAATGTTTATAAAGTATATGTACAAATATGTGCCTAAGATGGTGGGTACTAGACTTATTGAGGATGTCATTTATTAAGTTATATAAATATCTAACCATTATGTTATACACTTGAAGTTAATATAATATTAAATACCAACTTCAATTAAAAAGTAAAAATATATACAGACTTAGAGTCTACCAATGGATTCTTATGGGTAATATAAGTACTGCAACTAGTCTCCACAAGTAGATGCCAGCAACTGAAGGAGTCATGGAGTTCTATGGCTGTAAGAAACCTTGAAATTATTACTTTACAGGTGAGGAAACTGAGATCCAAAGAAATTATCTTTTCCCAAATTCCCAGGTAAGTAATGGCATAGTTTTATCAAAAACCCAGAGGTACTGACACTATGGAACATAATACAATCTTTATCATCCATTCACAAAGAGTAAAATGAAGTTTCCCCTGTTAAAGAAAATTTTTATCATGCTAAAAAAGGGAAATGTATACATAGATCACTTTAAAATACTGTATTATCAGCTATTTAAAAAGTTTTGATATCATGTTTTCACACGGCATTCTTGGAAACTGTGATAGCCAGAATATTAAACATATGCCATGAATGTCAGAAAAATATTGACAGAGTAATGGGATTCCAATTTTTCCACCCCTTCAACACAGGACAAACTATCAGAAAAATGTTTAAAGAGTAAATGTAAAATGTATGGGAAATCCTTCATTAGTATGAAATATATGGTCTATAAAAGATTTTTCTCAAACCAAAATATTTATATTAACCATAAAAATTATTAATATGCATTATTTTTGAGTCCAATCATTACTAATATAAAATCAGACAAATATTCTGACAATTAATATCCACGTTCTTACAGACGTCAATGTAAATCTGTGCTCATACTAAAGCATATTAGAGTGAAAAATAATATCGGACAATAAAATGATTAAAATTGATTTCTTAAACAAAATGAAACAAAAAGAAAAGCACTCAGCGTGAAACTGTTGACAAAAGTTACTTCACTAAAATTGTTTCATGGATGAATATGCAGACTAGTGATTTTCAACTGGTGTTCCACAAGAATTTTAAGAATTTTTAAAACATGCGATACCTGACTATTTTTTTGGTCAGGGGCACTTAGATAGTCCCTTAGACTCTCAAATTTTAAAAAATGAAAATAGCCAACACAGCCATAGCTGTCCGGGGTGAATGAATCAAGATTATACCTTTTTTTTTTTGTCAGATTGTCAAAAAATATAATATGTTTTTTGGTGTACCACAGAATTTTAGTAATTAGTTTATGTGTGCCATGAGATGAAAAAGTTTGAAAATTGGCCATGTAGACTATTTTTATCATGTTCTACATCAGGATAGTTTTCTCCCAGAAATGTCTTAGTAGTTTATATATAGGTAATGCCACTAGATGTCACTATAAGCTAAATGACTTTAGTAAACATCTGCAACTAACTGATTTAAAAAAAAAAACTTCAAAAAAGGACATTTCCTACACATTTATGAAATATATTATTAAATTGGCCCCAATTATATCAACGTTATTCTACATTTTTGCCTAAAATTTTCCATATTTTTCTAAATTACATTTTATTTCTTAAAAGATTTCTAGAAGAGCTATAGTCTGTTGTGATCTGGTTTACAGACTACTGTGCTGCATACCAAATAAAAGGGGGAAAATGAGGCTCTGGAAAATGAGATAAATCCCAAGTTTAATTTACAAAAACATATTAATACAAAAACTAGCTAACCAGGTAGGGTTTAGAGAACACATAATTTTTGAATACTAAGCTATAGATTTCTGTGTGTTAAATATGACATAATCAAACTGTTACAGTTAATGTGAAATACATTATAGAAATACTTAGAAATAGTTCTACTTGATCATAATTGCATTTGAAAGAAACTATTGGGTTTCTTTCTAAATGTTCATGGACTACAAAGCTATTTACGTTGGATGCTGAGTGGTTCTCAAATATTTCACACAGTGCTTCAGTGAGATTTCTTTTGGCATGTCTGGAGATCCATTTATGATCCTGTTATGGGATCCACCCATATATGAATTCAGAGGAAGAAAAACCTGGATCTTAGCAGAAAAGAGAAGCAGGCCCTGATTTGCTGACCTGTAGAATGTGTAGCTTGAAAGCCTTTTCTTTGAACAGATGCATCAGAAACAAACCGAACAAACATTTTATTTCCAGTAGCCACTAGGGGCTCTGGGATCTTGCTGCCACATAGTCGTCCAAGAATTGGTGATTTTTCTGTTTCTCCATCAAATACTTCCAAGTGATCATAAGCACATTCTTGATGCTGCTCTATCTCAAACTCACTAAAGGCCTGTTTATAAAGAAAAAAGAAAGAAAAAAAAAATCACATATCATTAAGAATAGGCTCTCGTTTTTGAAACAGAAATACAGATAAATAAAATATGTTCAGACCATGTAAATGATAATCCATGTAGTACATTATTGAAAGGGCTGTAAAATCAATAGATTGTAAAAGCTCTAGGAAAAACACAATGAGGAAAAAAAATGTAGTAACTCCATGCGAGAGTCTACCATTCAACTATTATAACTAATTCTACTATTGCAATTAGATCTATTCCAGTATCGAGACAATTTAGGATAACAAAATAATATTTTATTATCAATTTAATTCTGAATTTTTTATGAATGCATCAGAAAATTTTCAACCATTATATTAAAAAACTTCTTCCAGTTTTGATGATTGTAAACTATTGAACATCATCTTATATTTAGGCACCTAAACTAAGAAGAAAAATCCATAAAGTAATTATCGTATTTTGACAAAAATTAAAGGCAGTAAATTTTAATAGGGTAACTAAAACAAGGGAAATTTTCATTATACATTTCTTTCTTTAGATTTTACAACTCCTATTATTAGAAAATACTAACATGTCTTTAGGATAGATTTTTAAATTTACTTTTCGGACAGATGGTACATTTGTTTTAATATTTGGAGTCTTATAAAGTTTAGGTGCTTTGTCATTTAAAAATCATCCTAATTGACCTGTGTAGTAATTTTTATGTGTAGGTCTTCTCAAATTTTTAAAATAAAAATTCACTAAATATATAACATCAAATATCACAAAGAAAGGTTTAATTGTGATGGACTAAAAATGACATTGTCCAAACTATTAATAATTCCAGGAATTCTAGGTTATTTGCAATTGCCAATTTAGGTGTTTTTCTTTCCTCAGAAAAACCATCATATGTTTAAAAAAATAAGCCATTACTATTATTTAAGTCTAGAGAGTAAAGCTAAAGAAAAAAAAGAAAGATAATAACCTGAGGAAATATATGATATACTTGAAAATTCATTAATTTTGGTACAATCCCTGAAGCATAAAATATTTGCACATAAACTTTTTATATACATGTTTCCTTTAATGCAATTTTGTGAAGTGATCATAATTCTCAGTTTAACTAAGACATACAGTGTCTTAATTTTCAAAGAAAAAGTAACTAAGAACAGTTCTCTCTTGGTAAACTGTTATCTATTAAATTCTACACCACTGTCTACTTTCACTTCTTACTTTGGGGGAGTGAGAGACTAAATGAAAAAAGCAATTTATATTAGAGTGTAGAAGAAAGGAATGAATGGTACTTAAAAAAGATATAAAAGAAAGAAGACTGATCTTTCCTGTCCCGTTCTAATTTATAAAAAAGTGTAAGTTAAAAATGTTATAACAAGTAAGCATTAGAGAATCATTATTTGTTATAATCATTACAGGTAAAAAGGAATATTCCTTGCATTTGACCAAAGACACTGGATAGTGCATAAAAGACTGTCACACAAAGAATTGCACTGGAAACAAACAAACAAAAACAGTTCAGGAAAACGTAGTGAACAGAGTTTAATTATCTGGAAACACAATATTCAAAGTAGATGACCACTGAAGGAGTTTGTCACTTTTTAGTCTCTATAATCCAGTGGCAGAGAATGAGGAGGGTAGACATGGATATAGGAGAACCTAAATAGATGGTCGGCTGAATGTCTAGATAAGTCTGTCCATACTTTTGCCAACCCACTCATCCCATGTTTATAGCCAAACCCTTAAGTGGAAATGCTTTTGAAGTGGCAGACCAGAACAGCTTTTTTTCAGCCTCTCATGATGATCACAGGAATCATCAGCTTCTCTAATCCCTCTGTCTACAGTCTTAATATCAGTTTGTAACTGTTAAAAAAAAACAGAGAAAATTGGCTTAACTGCACCCAGAGAACTTTGTTAAATATGAAATCAAGCCTCTAAATTGTAAAATTAATATTATTTCAAGAGGAAAATAACAATCGGAAAGCCATGTCAACTAATTGTCTCTTTTGAATGCAATTTGGAATAATTAACCAATAAATATAAAGAAGAGAGAAAGCAACTGTGTAGGAAACTGTAAGAATGATGAGGGCAATGGCATTCGAAAGCATGGATTAGAAGTAAAAGTTAAACATGGGATCAGAATTAACAGACCACACACGTTCAGTCCATTGATCGGTCCATTGAAAGCTAAGTGAATGAGATAACTGAGTGACTATTCCCTCCCTAATGAGATGCAGGATGTCTGGGGTAAACCATAACATCTGCTTCATAGAACAGAGTGACACAGCACAAGTGGCACTGAGCCGGGGTGCGGGGGGCATACTGACACCTGGTCTGGGGCCAACTGGCTCCAGCTTTTTATCAGGTTACTAATGGAATCAGACTGACTCTATAGGAATCAAATTAGGCAAAGGTTTTGTAGCAACATATTCTCAAACAAGGCAAACAACTCTCACTCATTAAGCTATTAATGAATTTTCCTCTTCGAATTGGTAGCAGCATGCTAGGTTGATAGCAAAGACCGGGTGGTCCTTTTCCAGCAGTGAGCCGAACCCGAACGCTCTGCCACACACAGGCAAAAGCGTGACTAGCTCCACACGCTGAGATCTCATAAATCTGGCCCTTAATATCATCGAGATATCCATGTTTAGGGACCTCCATTCAGACTGACTTTGCCTCAATATAAAATATTTCTAGGCCACAGAAAAGTATTCTGGGAGCCCATGGGAAATTAGAAATCTTTAAGAGTACTTTCTAGAGTTTCCATAGATAAAGATACACAATTTATTACTTCATTCTATGACACATACTGAGTCATGAATCTCTATATCTAAGTAATATGAACATCTCCAGCCACCAGGGACCAATGCTACAGAAATGCCCCCTAGACACTTAGATACCCCAAAGGTCCTGCCCTTTTTGGGGGGACTTCTAAATATTTTTATTAAGCCTTTACACTAATACTATACAGACATTTTAGTATTCAAACTTAAACATTTCTCATTCCATGATTATAGTTCTATGATTTTAAGCTTACTAATCTAGGTTTTCAGAAAGAACCAAGAAAGAGGGAATAACTGTGAGCTCTAGTCAGGAATCTTAATAGATTTTCCACGGCACAAAATAACAGATTAAGGAGTCCCATTCAAAAGAAATAAAATTGAACCCTCATTCTAGGCTGCAGAAAGAATAGCTTTATGTTGCTGGAACACCCAAGCAAGCCTAATCGACCGAGCTGGCCACCAGCCAGGCGTGCACACGCGGGACCCTCATGTGAACATCTGTGGAAGTGCTTTTATTGAAAATATGGGCACTGGCTAAAGGATAAGGCCATTCAGTCACTATGTATATTCACAGAGGACAAGATAATAAAATGATAGTGCTTAATGCAGAAAGAAAATTTAGCCAAGGTGTCCATTTAAGAGAATTAAAGAGACTAATGCAATTTGAGCAGCTGTGCAATAAGATTCAGGGCTCCCTAGTCCCAGCCACCTTTTGCCTTTTCCTGTCTCAGTAAGAACTGTCATTTGGTTTCCCACACAAGATATTGGAAGAATTAGAAGCCACTGGGGGAAAAAAATGTCACAGTGGAATACAAACCCCAGTCTTCTAATTCAAAAAGTCCCTTTTTCCATGAGTCCTCTATAACTGTGATCAATATGCTCTTTATGGATTTACGGTAGAGGATTATATAACACTTGTGGATGTTTTTGTTTTCTAAACATCACATATATGAAACTAAAAATTGCAACTATATAACTTGGCAAAACTCTAGGTGATGATACAACAAATAAAAATGACATAAGTACATTCTCCTGTTGCTGTATATCCCTTTGCCTGGAACTTTGTTTCAGTACTGTTTGTTTTGTTTTTAATGAAGAGGAATTTAAAATAATCAAAAAGGTACCCAAAATTTGATGATTGGTTTAGCCTCTCAAAACCAAAACAGGATGAGGCCAGAAATAACAGATCCTTGTCCTTATTCATTCAGAACTTTATCCCATTTTTAATAAGAAGAGTTTTCCACATATCTTTCACCCAAGATTCCTTTTACTTTGTAGCTGTCATCATATGGTATCTCATGATTAAACACACACCTACATACACACTAAAAACAAAGCAAATCTAGCAGTTTGCTGTTGTTGCTATAGCGAAAGACCACAAGCTTAGTGGCTTAAAACAATAGAAATGTACTGGCCTAGGGCTGTGGAGGTCAGTAGTCCATAAAAATGGGTGGGCAGCACCGTGTTACTTCTAGGGACCCTGGGTGAGAACCTGTTTCCATGTATTTTTCCAGCTTCTGAAGGCTGCTCTCAGTCCGTGGCTCACGTCCACTTCCCCTGTCTTCAAAACGAACAGTGTAGCATCTCTCCTCTCTGACCTCCTGCCTCCCTCCCAGAAGGGACCTTCTGATACCAGGGAGCCCACCCAGATATTATTCCAGCATAATCTCTCCATTTTGAGATCCTTACTTCAATCGGCTCCTCTTGCCATGTAAAGTAACATGTACAGATTCTGGGGGTTAGGACGGGGCCATCTCTGGGGAAATCGGGACAATGATTCTACCTGCCACAGAAAGTAAGTCCAAATGCTTTCACTCTGTGCTTCTCAGGAAAATGAGCACAAACACTTATGAATCCATGATTTCAAACTGTTTTACCCCTGGCCTTCTTAGCTTGGGTCAGTGAATTAAATCCCAAAGGGCAAACAGAGCCTGTGGCCTGTTTCTGTAATTAAACTTTTACTAGAACACAACCATATCCATTCATTTGTGTACTGACTATGGCTGCTTTCACGTAAAGCAGCAGAATTAAATTGCTGCCACACAGGCGACTCAGTCTATGAGTCTATAATATTTACTATCTGGCCCTTTAAAGAAAAAGTTTTCTCACAAATAATCATTAGCTACCTTTTTAATTGTCAGAATTTAATTTCAAATTCATAAGGCTACATAAAAACGTGATCACGGTTGAATTACATAGTGGTATAAATTTTTATTATTAATCATTATCATAGTCATTGCTATTTGGATATCACACATAAATATTCATTGTCATTTAATAAAGCACTATGGCAAACATTTTATATACTAGTGTATTTAATATACATGAAATTCATGAGTATTAGCTCCAATGTGCAGATAAAGAAATTAAAACTTTAAAGAATACGTTCCCAAGATAACATCACTAATAAGCAGAAGTGCTATGATTTAGACCCAAATCTCTTCAAGTTCTAAATACATGTTCCTAATCCCTCCATATTTCTCTTGTATATTTGTTTCCTTCATCATTATAAGATTGTCTTACTAACATGATTTTTTTTACATTTAAATTACTATATATGTGCACATACACAGCAATTTTGGATCTCTTTCTTCTCTGATGCAGGATGCTATAATTAAAAATAAGATTAAATGTAGAGACAGAGTGGGCTTGAAGGTGTTTATACACCTGCTAGTTTTATAAACTTGCTCAGGGACCTAAACTGCCTGAGACTGCTTTCTTACTTACTAATCCTGATTCTTACAGTATTTTATAAGAACATGATTAAGGGGGGAAAGTGGAATCATTATTATGCTCTTATTCAGAAACTTGGAATGGCAAAAGTAAGTTTTTTAACAAGTCTGCCAGAGAATTCTGGTGCAAGCCAATATTTGAGAAAACCTGGCTTAGATTGTAAGTACTTGTACTAAAATCACAGAATCAAATACTTAAAACAAAGATCCATATTTGCCTCAAAGCTCTCATTTTCCTTCTGAAAATTACCTTTCATAGGATAATGACAAGTATAATCATTGTTGAACAGACATGCTTACGTCCTGATCCTCAAGAAAATATTTGCATAAAAAATAAAGCCTGTAATTTACAAAGGAACAGAGTTAGAATTGGAAGGGATGTTTAATAAGCTGGAAAGCATATAATTGAGAATGGATAAAGTATTGTCAAACTGAGGGATATGAGGAGTTCTGCTTCCCCTTGGATAGAAAAAGCTGGAAATAGTGTTGTTTTTACTCTACTAGGAAAAACCCATGTGAATTAAAAAAAAAAATCACACCATTGCTGAACACATCCAAGAACTGAAGACATTAGTCAACCAAGTTGTATCAAATCCACTAAATCTCAGGCCCCTCCAAGAAGAGCTGAGACTTAAGCACCTGCTCACAGTGACAGAGTTCAGAAGGAAGAGATACTGCATGCCTCACAACTGGGTAAGAGGCATTCAGCTACAGTTTTTAAGGGGTTGGTAAAGATCAGGTGTGAACGAGGGTAAGAGTATAAAACCCCTGGGACATGCAAACGCAGGGAGTTTGCAACCACTCACAAGCTCTTCTCCATGACCTCAGCGACCTCAATCACCTGCTCCTGAGAAAGGCTGTGAGCACAGCAGGAGATGGTCACTGCCTTACTTGGTGTTACAGGCTTGAAAAGGGGAACCAGTCGCTGTCATGAGAAAAGCAGAAGCCCTGTTGCAACTCTTCTCTGGGAAGGAAAGCCTTAAGCCTCAGGGAGAGCAGCAGAAAACCCTGTCACCCTCCGGGCAAAGGGATAGAGCTAGCGTAGCCAGGGGAAATGCTCAGGACTAAGTTAAACTAAACTAAAAACATTTCTACCCGGGGGGAAGTCCTGGGCTCAGGATCTTATACCAGTAACATTGGAGATCTACTATGGCTGCAAGGGGGCAAAGGAACTCCCCCCCGGAAGACCACCTAGAGCTACAAGGTAGAGTGTGGTTGCCACTGAGAAAGGACATTCCTAGGACCTAAAAACACAGAGCCTGTCTACAGAGGAGGCTGTGCTAAGACAATAGAAAACCCCCTGCCTCACCACCAGATTAGCAAGCACCCAGCAACGAGCAACCACAGTCTACTGCGGGAAAAAGAAAGAAAAATTCATGGAGGATATAAATGGGGAAGTGATAGATGAAGGACAAACACTAAGCAAATGCCTCTTAAAGGAATTTGAAGGCAATGGTAATCATAAGAACATGAAAACCCAAAGTCAGCCTAATAACTGACTAGATTCACTCAACAGCACCCGCCACCATATACACACATACACTAATAGCCTAAGAGAAGAGATGTGTCTACTTTCAGACATAGTCTCTACTATTACACACAGAGAGTCTGGTGTTTAATAAAAAACATGACATGCAGAAAGGCAAGAAAAAATGATAAAGTTTTAAGAGATAAAATAACAGAATAGACTCAAACACAACTCCATGTTTAAACTATCAACAGAATTTAAAGTAACTATGATTAATTTACTAAAGATTCTAATAAAAATGCAGATAACATACAAAAATAGGTGGGAAATTTCAGTGGAGAGATTGTGTTTTAGAATGAATTACCTTTCCCCTTAATTCATGTTAAAGCCCTAAACCCCAATGTGACTGCACTTGGAGAGAGGTCCTTATAGGAGGTATTTAAGGTTAAATGAAGTCACAAGGGTGAGGCCCTAATCCTATGGGGCCAAAGTCCTTATAAGAAGACAAGGAGATGCCAGAGCCCTCTCTCTCTCTCCGCGCACACAAAGAGGGAAGGCTGTGTGAGGACAGAACAATGAAGCGCCGTGTATAAGCCAGGAGAACAGGCCTCACCAGACACCAACACTGACAGCACCTGATCGTGAACTCTGAGCTTCCAGAACTGTGAGAAAATACATTTTTGTTGTTTTAGACTCTCTGTTATGGCGGCCTGAGCAGACTAATACACATGAGAACTAAAATAACAAGTCAATGGAAATACTAGAGATAGAAAACATAATAAGAAAGTTAAAAATGCCTTTAAAAAGCTTAGACAGCAAAAGAAACAACCATGGAACTTTTTAGGTTCATAGAAAGTACTGAAAGTTAGGCTTAGAAAAGAATGACAAAAAATTAACAGAGCATCCATGAGTTATTGGATACTATGAAACAACCTCGTATATGTGTAATTTAAGTCCAAGAAGGTGAAGAGAGACAATAGTGCAGAAGAATTTTGTGAAAACTTAATGGTTAAAATTTTTCAAAATTCATGACAGACACCACAATATATGTGGAAGAAATTCACAGACTTCTGAGGAGTAATTACCACACACACACACACACACACACACACACAAACACACACACACCCCCTAGATACATTGAGTTTAAATTGCTGATAAAAAGCAAATGTTGAATGCACACATAGAAAAAAATGAATCATTACTTTCATGGGAATAAAATTCAGGTTTACAATAGACTTACTAGAAACAATGAAAGTCAGAAAATAATAGAGTCAAGGGTTTAAAGTGCAGACTGGAAAATAAAATTGTCATCCTAGTTTTCTATACCCAATTAAAATATCTTTAAATAGTGACACTACCCAGACATACTCTAATATATATGTGTATATATGTATATATACACATATATATGTCTGTACATATATGTATAAAATTCTTCAGAGAAGACTTTGATACCAGACAAAATCTGAATCTACACACAGAAAAAAATCATGTTCTCAACTTCCTTAGCTAACTGCACTGCTGAAAAGAATACAGTTCTCTCAGTCAGGACCTTGGACAGGACTGGAAAGCACTCAAGTTCCCACAGTGCTGTCATCTTATTAGCATCAAGCATTTTTCCAAAGAGTGGCTGAAATGAATTAATGTCTATGTTTGGAAAGTCACTTACTAATATTTTACAAATATGATGACAGCAAGGATTTCCATAATAGGAATATGAATGTGTCAGTGACTGTCTCTAATTTTATCATTATAATGCTGCACAGAAATATACCCTCTTTCTTGGGAAAAAAAAATCACTGAGGAAAAGGATTTAAACAATTTTAAAATTAACTTCATGGCCGGACCACTCCAGTAAGCCCACCATGGACGGGTAGCCTCATTCTCAACACAGTTTCTTGTCCTTCACTATGGTGACTGTTAGACTGTCCTTTGAGTCTTGCTGGCTGGCATTCACTCATGCTTTTGAGAACAGCATATTGTAGGGAGTTATTAAAATTTCTATATTCCTATGATTTTATTGTTAAATATATGCTCTTCATGTATTCTGTAACCTATAATGAGATTTAATATTACTATCGGGTGACAAGGACAAAATGCAAGGCTCAAAGAATACAGGAGAGAGGACAAACATTATATTCATATTTGAATTTGGGAGAAGTCTAAAGATATCAGTATCCATCTAAGGAGGGCAATTATGCGAAATAATATTTCACAAACAAGAAAACAAAATTGGTTTATTATAAGCAATCTATATGCTTTGTATATGAAGAATACAGAAGAATACAGAATACTGACATAGCCAGTAGAATTTACTCTGGTGTGTTTAAATGAATATTTATTTTATTGCTGTCTTGATGAATTTCTAATTTTTTTCCCTTTATTTATTTTCTCCATTTGGAAACATCATCTTAAATAATACGTTACCTACAGCCTTGCAGTAGCTTTGTTAATGCCTTTTAAGTATCCAGGGTAAGATCATTATAAGAGAAGTTCATGGCTACCGTTACTATTGCCTTGATCTAGGAAGTCAGAAATTTGTGTAGTGTCAGGAGAAAAGCACACGAAAGAAAATCTTTTCCATCTGTCTACTAATTCAATTCAACTCAATAAACATTCATTTTGCTTCCATGTGCTAGCCATGGAAGACATGGGCAGTCAGCTTAATAAAAAAAAGGACAGGCTCACTTACTAATTTGACTCGATGGCCTGGCGTGGCACTGATTTCCCATGTGCATTCCTTCCTGCTTGGGTACTTGTCTGGCCAGTTGGGACTGGTGATGAAGCCATTTGGACTGTGGATTTTCTGTTCACACTCAGCTGTGCCAATAACAATGATATTGATCAGTGTGGAGATCTAGCCCAGGACTGGACCAACAAGAAAGCAGCCTCTTTTCCCATTATCCTACTGAAAGACTTTCTTGAATACTAACTAACCATCACTCCAGTCTCTGTTATCATACTCATCTGCTCTGGCATACATTTTGCTGAGCATAATTAGGCAATGTTTGTGTTCTTGCTTTCAGGAAATTAAGTGTTTACAATGAATTTTAGAAATGCTTAAAAAATAAACTATTTTAAACTGCTAGATCTGTAAGTTCAGACTTTAACAGAGCAACATACATTGACAATCAAGGACATCAGCTTTTGGTATGTGTAAAATATTTAATGCAATATCACGAACAAAAATCAATGGATTATGCCATTTCAGTTCATTTTTTTCCATTAACAAAAACACAATCTATAGCTAATTAACATCATCAAGCCACTTTATGAATTATGTATTTACATTTCTCTCTTCTTTCGTTCAAGTATATACTTGAATACTGAAACTAAAATTTTAGCTGCTTAAGTAAATGAACTCTAATTTCATAAAAGTATAATGAAGCAATAAGGGGAAACAAATAAGTGAACAGCTACTAGTCATGGAGATAGCTTCTAAACTAATTTCCAAGAACATTTAATTAACATGAAATTTCTTTTAGAAAGAAAAAAATATTTCACAATTAAAATAACTTCATCTTAAAAGAGACCATTTGTTCATATTAAACTTCAGAAACACTTAATGCCCTCAAGCTCTGTTCATTCTGTGTAATTTATGAAGCAGCGCCCTATGCATCCTGATTAAGACTATGAGTTATTTGTTATATGCTGTGTATTCTATTCTGAAATAAAATAAATTCTCTGGAATTTTCCAAGAAATCTCTTTGTGAAGTTCGTTACTAAGTAGATAGAACACCTGTTACACTGCAGGGCTGCACAGTAGGGGTCAGATGCCAGCATTAATGTGCTGTTGCCACTTATTGCTGGACCGTTATCCTAACTGTGCTCGGTGTCCCTAGAGAGGTTTGGATTTGTGAGGAATACAAAAAGGAGTCAAAACTCAGCTCCTTCCCAACAATAGAGGATCGTGTAGCAAGAAAATAGCCTTAAAGGCTTGATCCTGTCTTGACAAGGGTTTCTAGATCCGATGATCCATGTCTGCCTTGCCATGTGAAATGTGGATCCCCACTATCTGGCAGAGAGTCTAGGAGACAAAGCCCGGAGGCTCACTGATTAACTGTGGAGCCCGCACTGCATCAGAGGTAAAGAAAACAGGACCCCCTTACTGGCAGTAAAAATGAGCTTTACTGGGGGAACCTGAATATAGTTCTATCCAAAAGGAAGTTTCCTATAAAATCCTTTTGTGAAAATATTTCCTGTAATGAACAGAGATTTAGGATAAATACATTTACTTGCTACCTGTGAGCCATGGCCTACATGCATGCTCTGCAAAGCTGTCTCTTCATTGCTCTGAATTACCTTCCATATCTGCAAAATAACCAGGCCTATTCCTCAGCCTGTTGATTTCATAGAACACTTTACGAGTTACAAAGATCAGAATCCCCGTGGGTCTATACACATATGAAAGTGAAAAGAGACAAAAATCCTGCTTGCAGATGGTTCTAAGCAATGTCAGTAGCTCAGTGAAAACACAGGGAAAAACAAATTGACAGGGAAAAACACCTTGACTCATTACCATATTGGAATGGAAAGGAATGGAACAAGGGCCAATTCAGGATACTATTCGAATGTGCATACAAACAGCTGCTATCTAACTGTGGTGCTAGTCAGGCACCTGTGATTCTATGTGCTACTGACACAAGCTATAAAATCTGCCTTAGTAATTCTTTCAAATTGGGCATAAACCAAGTGAAGTAGAAAATTCAGGAACAGACCCTCCAAGGAAGAAAGAAAAACAAAATAACTATTTCTCGTGCCCATCCAGCTCCTACTAGCTAAGGAGATTAAGACCTTTGTTTTTATAAAATCTTGGAATATTGTAAGGCTTGAGGGCCAAAAACTGGCTCTGGTAGGCTACTGTTGTGCTACTAGTAAGATTTTATTTCTTTCTTCTAAAACCAAGATTTAACACTGTTTAAATGGTATGGTGTCTACCATTTTCAAATGTCTGTCCTCTGCTAGACATTTGTGTTAGACTCTCCTGGTATTTAAAGCGGCATCACTCATGTAGCACATATATGAGATATTTTGGGGAGGGAAACTAAACCAGATGCAAAGCCTTTAGCAGAAGGTAGGTTTAAGCATGCAGACTGTTACAGAGGCCTGCTCCATAAAGACCTGGGAATCAAGTGCTGTTCTTCTGGCTGCCAGACAGCATCATAGCAGCATCTACGTCTGTTACACAAAATTATTCTAATGCCACCCATTATGACGTGCTGGCTCTTCAGGTAATATGAGTTTCCAATAGGTGCCGTGGATCTTTGAGCACTGTACCTATACTCATATTTTTTGACATTTGAACACCCAAAAATGTTATCACTCACTGATAGGATTAACTCTCCCTGGAAGCAGTGTTTTACCTAAATGGCATGAAATTCTAGATGTTATAAAGAAAAGAAGGCTGCTTTCATACCTTCCTTGCAGTCGTGTTTATTTTCATGCAGCACAAATCCATTACGGCACTGACACACGTAGCTTCCCATTGTGTTGACACATTCGTGTTGACACCCACCGTTATCCTTAGAGCATTCATCTTTGTCTGGCAAGAAGATAACCCATAGTTTAGTGAGTGGCTTTAAAAACAAAAAATATCAAAGGAGAATCATTTAGTTGTAGTTAACACTTGGCAAAGGGTAAACTAAGCCACAGCTTTTCCTGTTCCCAACATAAAACAAAAAGACAAAGCAATTGATAGTGTCTTAGTTCTACCCAGGCCTTGTTTAGCTTGGCGCCTGGTACCATGGATTGAGTTTCTCAGACCAGCTGTGCCAGGATGAGAACTCATAGTCCCTCGTCGCTCCTGGAGCAGACCTTTGGAGTAGGAGACAGGAAAGGGACAGATCTTTTTGCAACTAATCCTAAACACTTATTGCCCATTGTTAAAAATAAATTAAAAATTGTGAGTGGTGTGAATAAATGCAAGAAATGGCATTAAAGTAGAGGGAAATCCTTCAATATATTAACCATGGCATTTAGACAGAGGCTAAACAAGGCTCCAAGATTTGTATGTAATCACTTAAAAACCAATTAGTGTAACCAGTAGCTGATTTTTTTAATTAACTTTGCAGTTCAGCTAAACATTGATGAATCTGTACATTTCATAATGTTCTAAAGCAGAGAAAGCCATCATTAGACTATTCTAAAGAAGAAAGCTAATTTACATATTTTTTTAAAATCTACTCCAGCAGCCTAGTTTATTAATAAGTAATTCCCTAAAAGGGCTGTTATTGCACTAGAGGCAAAGGTTAGAATAGGAAATATGAGCTTTAAGAAATAGCCAACAAATTCATAACAGGAGCAAGAGCTAAACTAGATTAGCAGGCAATCAATCCAGTGAGAAGCATCAACCACCATATCATGTCACTTGGCTCTCTTGCTATAGCTGGCTTGTCCATTAAAGTCAAAACTGGCAGACTGTTCATGACACACACATACGATGACATATCACTCAGACTGTCATCACTCCCACAGCATAGAGAACAAAAGGGACACATGACAGTCATATCAGACGTTAGGCTGAATTCATAATTTACACTGTCAGTGGATTTTTCCAAAGGGAATTTGTGAGCTCATGGTGGCTCAAATAGAAAATACCATGTTTACCTTTTCATCAGCTCAATATTCACTCTAAAAAAGATGGGTTTAGGAAAGACATTTTTAATCAAAGTATCTGAGAGTAAATTTTAAGGATACATTTACCTTTCCCCTTACATGACATAGTACACACATGCTCCTGGGATATATTCATGTATTAGCAGTATCAAAATATACCAAATACATACAGGCAGTCCCAAAGTTTTAAACAATATATGAGAATCAATGGAGCTGTGATTTATGTATTCTCTACCTATCCTTAACAGTTCCATTACACTTTTAATACTTGCTGTGGAGACTAAAAAACCACAAAAAATGTAGAATGAAGAAAATCATCTAGCATCAAACACCAAAAAATGTATAGAAATTAGAAATTGTAAATTAGCCTTGTAAAATTAATTTTGGAGAATTTATAATAATTTGAAATCCCTGTTCCCTTACTTTCTTCAACAGTGAAAACTACAGTTTGAGTTATTAATGATTTAGGCAGAATGGCTGGATGGTAAACCATACTTCCTACCACCATGGTGGCAGCTACATATATTTTCTAATTCAGGTAGTCAAACAGTAAGTGATCTAAATTTATTATGTTAATGCACCTTTCCAGAGGCTCTTTATTTAAGATGCTTCATAAAACACTCTCTCATGAGTAGATATAGAAATAAGAGGTCTGTCCAGGAGGTATCCAGCCATGTACTATGAAAAATAGAGACATTTATTGAAGAAGATACAAGAAACATTGTACACAGGACAATAATGCTTCGGTCCCCTTCAAAGTAGGCACTTTGGGACCTCACACAGTTCTTTCAATGGCCATCAGCTGCCCTGTCGTGTTTTCCTGAATCTCATCGACAGTTTGAAACCTCTTTCCTTTCAAAGGTGATTTTAGTTTTGGGAAAAGCCAGAAATAACAGGGTGCCAAATCTGGGCTGTTGAGGGGCTGAGTCATGGGGTGATTTGATGTTTTGCCAAAAAAAGTCTGCACAAGGTGTGATGCATGAGTGGGCATATTGTCAAGATAAATCTGCCAATCACCAGTTGCCCATAGCTGTAGCCTTCTGAAGTATCTGAAGTTTCCAGATACAAAATGTGATGCAGATTTATTGCTCAACTCACTCATTCATTTTGAATGTGACAGCCACACAGTATATATGCTCACTCAATGGCATCTGCCGCCCCCACTGACTAGTACAGTGAAGTCGTCATTGTTGACACATGCGCATTCCAGTCCCCTCTCCTTGGCTGCCAGATTGCACCACTGTCACACAAACCATTCTTGTTCTAGTAACAATGGCTGGACTCCTTCCAGACAGATCCATACACTTCGTCTTTGTTAAATGGAAAGAGCCAATTTAAAATTTTCTGGTGCCAGAATTTCTTACTCTGAAATAGACACATATTTCCTATGAAAATGTTATATAATGATCACTTGTATATAAAATAAAACTGACTGTTGTGCTTAACATAAAGCTGAACTTTAATTGCACTGTAGGTCAATAAGACTTTTGAGAGCTGCTCAAAGATCTAACAACTTAAGCAAAGTAGTTGCTAAGTGACAAACCCTATGGTAGCTGAGATTGCCTGAATCCTCCTTTTATCTGGTTCTGTTTGGATTGCCACACATGAGAGAGATAAAACTGTCAAAATAAACACATGACTAAACAGAAGTTACTATTGCTGAGTTTCTAAATCCATAGTCATTTCATAATGGAAACAACGCCATTACAAAAATATTTCTAATATTGAAGCTTCATTCTAGGGGGAATCTTAAGCCACTAGGTTATATTTCTAAGGAGAATTTTTTTCTTTAGATCTGATAGAACATAATCTTAACTGTGCTAATGGTAACTAAAGAGAAATGGTGAAAGTAGAACCAATCATATTTGAACAGTTATTTGCATTTATAGCCAATTTACATTGTTATTCTGCTAAAAAAAATAGTAATTTAAAAATATTTTGGGAAGACAAAAGAGGAGCAGAAAGAGGAGCAAAAGAGTGAAGAAAAAATATATATATTATTGTCCAAGGATTTATTATTTTTCAGTTTCCCAGTTCATTGGTGTTTTCTGCTTTTATTCCTACATTTAATGCTGATTAATACAATTAATATGACATAAAATTAAGAATATATGCTAGAATACGTGTATGGATTAATCTAAAGTTTAGCTAAAATTCAAAACTGAAACAGTAACTAAAAGCAGCAGAGGAGAGTCATCACGCCCAGCAAACTAACATATGAAACTGTGCCTCCGTGAGTCAGAGTCATATGAAAAGAGAAAATTTCAGTAAACATTGGAATACTTAGATTATCCAGATGGTTTACATCATTCAGATAAAGAAAGGTATTTAACTTAATATTTTAAGTTGCTAGGAAGTAATGAATATGTTGAGGTTATTTTAAAACTGTATTTCAACAATAAAATAATAAATTAAAAAAACTTGTTTGAATAGAAGTAAATAAACTATTCTAACTCAAGTGAATGTAATTTCAGAATATCTATGTTAATGAGAAGTAGCAACATCAAAAAAGACCTCATCCCACAAATATATTTTGGATTTCTTATGCATGAAAGGTCATCAAACCAGAGGAGAAAGGTATTAGCGAACACAATTATGTCTTCACTTTTTTCTCCTTTCTTCTCTTAGGACACAAATTACAAATACCTTAAACAATGAAAATCCAAAGGGAAGAATAGAGAAGGATGCACAGTTTTAAATATTTCTCAGAATATCCTTGTAATGAACTTAATAATTGAGTATTCAATCAATAATTCATTTGAAATTTTCTAGCATTTTCATACTGTAGGCACAAAATTTTTAAGACAGTTTTTATTAGTGAGAGAAATAAATGTTTTGTTGAGTAGAAAGAAAAACATTTATTTCCTGAAGAAGGAAATTAGCCTCCTTCATTGGAATGGACATATCTACTTTCCATTCCTTCATGTCAGATGAAGGACAGGGCCATTATAAGGGACAAAGGAGGTGGCACTTTCCCATCAGAGGGCTGCAGGGTACCTCTGAGACTACCAGAGGCCATCAGTCTATGAATAATACATACTGGACGGAACTGAAGTGGCAACCTGTATCAAGTTCTTGCAAGATTCAAAAATAAAAATTTTCTCTTTGCAGAAAGCTTCCTTGTCTGTAGGAAAAAGAAGGGCCCGTGCACCAGAAAAGAAACACATATGAGCAGATATACTCCCAACAAATGCTCAAATATAAAATAAACAGACCCATGCATACTCGTGCACTCATACACATGTACACTCCCATGCCGTGGACACACACACATGGCACACAGAGGTTTCAGCACAAAACTAATGAAGAGATAATTACCTTCAAAAAAACACTAATAAACTCTGAGCTATGACAGAGACAACTTACTCTTTATAAAACATGCAAATATTTGAATATCACTAATAATGAAAATTTGGAAAATGATTCAAACTCATAGGAAAGTTTTAATTGTGTTTCCATTTGAAATTGATCACACTAATATTTAAAGTTTTGTTAGAACAAAATCAGGTTAAATTTCTTCTGAAATACCTATTCCACGAGAGAAATGGTGTACGGGAGGAACAATGTTAAGAAATATATTATATGGTGAAAGGTGAATAAGGAAACTGGGAGTCAGGAAATCTGGGTTTTATTCCATTTCTTCTAAAAAGCAAGTCATTAGGTCCATCAGTACATACATCACATTCGCATTCCAGTTATCTGTGAGGATGGCTGCTTTTAAATGAGATATATTCTTCAAATCCAAGTTTCACTATTGCAGAAATCATAATTGAATATTTGTACTAATACATGGTTGCCTAAGATGGTACAATGTCTATGCTCAACTTTCATTGCCTAAAGTCATTTGTTATATCATTCACAAATAATGAAGGCTACAATTAAAAATTTAAAAACATGCATAACATCCTACTAATAGTCCCTTTAAGTTAACTTTGTTCTGAGTAGAATACAGTTAACTTGCCTAACCACTTAAAATAAGTAAACTATATATGTATATCTGTGCATATTTGTATACTAAGTTCAAATACAAGATCATATAAAATTAAGTTTGGTTTTACTGTCATATAAAGTAAGTAGTTATTGCTCATCTAGAAAAAGAAAACCTCACTCAGTTCAAGAAAATAACATAGTGTATTGTTACACTATAAAATGCCTGCCATTATATTCTGAATTACCTAAAAATTGAATAGACACATAATTCTATATCATGTCCAAATGACCTTTGATAGTTCTAAATATACCCTACAATCAGTACAGTATATTACACTTTGATTTTGCAGAAGAGTTTGCAGATTCTCTGTTGTGTGCTATAATAAATTCTAAATTTTCAATCTATAGAATTTTTCATGACTCATTTAAGATATTAAATCAGAATTCATATGTGACAGTTCCTTATTTTTATGAACATGGAGGTGACAGGAAATTGATATTAATTATTATTCTAGTAATATAATGGGGGGAAAGAAGGGGAAGGGTGAAGTCAAGGAGCATATATAAAGGACCTATGGACAAGGACAACTTGGGGGGGGGACTGAATGTGGCGGGGGGGTGGACAGGGCACCAGAGAGCAAGGTGGGGAAATGGGGACAACTGTAACTGAACAACAACAACAAAAAGACTTTAGAGTCATTCCCCTGATTCCATTTCTTAGGTCCCTTAAGTGCCGAACTTAAAAGGCTATGTGAAAACAATAACTAAAATCTCTATATGATTATAAATATTTTCATTGTATACTGTACACTAAAAACCTAAATATATTTCCCTGTCTTTTTCCTTGATGCATCACTTAGCAGAAAGAAAGCTAGACTTTACTTCTAAATAGCTTTCCTCTCCAAATAATAGGTAATCATCTATTGTCAAATATTGTTTCTTCTTTTTATTGAATTATTTGATAATTGTTCTTAGAAAAAGAATGTGGAAAAAATAGATGAACATGTTATATTACTCATTGTTTTCATAAACACATAACCACTTCTGAAATTTTTAGAACACTGGTTACAAAAAGAACCACTTAAGTCTTCATATTTCTTGATTAACAGATATGATAGAGTACCATTTATTCAATTGTTTGTAGTAAGATAATATTACAAATTAGCTATATAAATTAAAATTATAAAATTTAGCCCTGGCTGGTGTGGCTCAGTGGATTGAGCACTGGCCTGCAAACTAAAGGATCGCTGGTTCAATTCCCAGTCAGGGCACAAGCCTGGGTTGCAGGCCAGGTCCCCAGTTGGAGGCATGCAAGAGGCAACCACACATTGATGTGTCTCTCATCTCTTTCCCCCTCTCTATCTCTAAAAATAAATAAATAAAATCTTTAAAAAAATTAACTCAGTTAAAAACATTAATTTGTATTACTAGCTATTAACTAATTAATAAATTAAAAAATTACTTAACTTTTTAAAATTTAATCTTTATTGTATTGTTTTCCATTACCATTTAGTTCCCTTATAGTCCCTCCCCCCAGCACACCGTTGTCCATGCCCATGAGTCCTTTTTCCTTTTTGCTCAATCCCTCCACCCCCTCCCACTGCTCTTCATCTATGAGTCTGTCCTCATTTTCCTTGTTAGTTCATTTGTTCATTAGATTCCACATATGAGTAAAATCATATGGTATTTAACTTTCTCTGTCTGGCTTATTTCACTTAGCATAATGTTAACTTTCAATGATCAAAATGTATTAGGTAATGTTTGCAAGTCTAAAAATATTTGGGGTAATAGATAGGTAGAAATATGATATGTTTTTCTCCTCAAGTTATTTTTATATTTAAATCTGATGAAAACAGAGAAACTTGAAGAAAGAACTATAATGCACCAAATCTTTGCCTTAAGACATATTAAATTCCCGGTATTTTTATATAGCAGCTTGCAGGTTTGCTCCCACCCAGATGCTTAGCTCTATGCATAGAACACAGATGGTTTATTACCTAGATTTCCATTAATATTTTATCATAGGTAACTATTTACACCACGGAGTCATTAAATTATCTTTATAATTAAATCAAGACATGGCTATATATTATTATATTTAAAGAATTATTAGAACTTAAATAATATTTTCAATGTGAGTAGCACCTATCTATTAAAATAGGTGATCTTTTATAAATTACGATTTTGTGAGATGATCAAAATTAGAACAGTAGGTAACATAAGTCCTTATTTGTTGCCACTTCTTGATAGTACCACACCAAGCCTTTATTACAGATATAATGTTTTTATCTTCCTTTTTCCTGAGCAAACATATCCTCCAGGCACTTAAATGTGAAATAGATCAAATTACTCATCCAGAACCACCATATTTTAAACATGAATCTGACAAACTGCCAAGACTTTTTCAATGCATTAAAAAAAAACACTGAAAGTTTATACTTAATGATAATTACCTTGGACTTTACAAAATTATAATCTAATAAAGAGGTAAAAAGTATATCTGCTATTTCTCAGGTCACAAATACGTTCAGTGTAACATGTAACTAATGCCATTTGCAAAAGGCGTGATCAGCTCTTACAGTTAAGCCAAACCAAGACAAATGGGGGTTTACATGCGTTGTGACACTAAGCAGTTTACTTAACTCCTCAGCTGCTTCATCTGTCAAATGAACATAACAACGAGAACGCTGCATCCTTGCTGTGATTATTAAAGAGACAATGTGCGTCCGCATAGTAAGTCCTCAAACTGGCAGTTAGGTGAACATTTGGGGTTTAATTTCCCTTTAAACTTCATTGTTTAGCACACTTACCTACTTGCACACTGTCAAACAACTTAGGTGAAAGGCTATCAAAGATAACGAAGTATTGTCACCTAGTTGATTTATAATTTCTAAATACAGCACTGATAAACACTAAAAACAGAGATGATTTCCTAAAATGATCTGCATCAATAAATGTGATTTACAACACATTAACTATTATGAGCTTTAGCACTATCAAGCCACTCAGATAATTTTACAATTATATAGACACATAGAGATAGGAAAAAAGACTCTGCCCTGCCATGTGCTAAGACAGCATCTTCTGCATGCGCCTTCATATTTACATTATAAGAATTAAAGTAGCATGCCTCATATTTCAATAGTATTGTTTTAAAGATACAAACAAATAACCTGTCTTTATGATTTACAATGTTCTGCCTGATCAAAAATATCAGAGACTGAATTTTAAATATTCTGGTAATGTTAAATTTAACCATACTTTGTCACCAGTATACATAGCATGTACCTTTTTAACAAGTATTATTAAATAAAATGTATAATTAATTTAAAGTGACAAGGATCCTGAATGTTACTAATATTATGATAAAATGCATTTACTTTACATTTTCAATTTTTAAAATAACTATTTCAGTGGCTCTAAGATAAGAAGCCTTATGTCTAATGGTTGGAAACCTAAAATTTGTATCATACAGAATATTTTTAAAAGCGTGAAGACGAAGGAAGTCTTTCTTTCTTTGAAATAGGATATTAAAAGTCTACTTTGAATAACATAAATCTTAGATGAATGCCTGAGAAGAATTTTTAAAAGGCAATTAATTCTGGGGGTAGGACGGGAATGAGAACAAGGGAGCTGAGAGCCATTGTATTTTGAATGTTACTTTTCTGTATGACTTGGACCTCAATGGAGCTTGTGAACCATTAACTTCAATTACACTGAAAACCCCAAACAAACCCTCACTATTGTAAATCTCATTAATTTTAAACACATGGGGACTGGAATAAATGGACTTTGAATTAACTCATTCCAAATTACCTAATATTAAAACATAATTGGAATTCAGTTGCTTTAGATTGCTTGCCAGTCTGAAAGGCAGAGTAGATTGCTATACTAAGCTTTATTACAATTGTATCTATTTTTAACATTTCACAATATTTTTATAAGGTATGAAATTGGGAAAATAAAGTAATTTTACTGGTGTTTCTATATATTTTCTTAAAACTGGGGCACCTTTTAGCAAATTTAAGCTCTTTGAGAGAAATTTTACTGTGAGGTCATTAATCTAAACATTAAATTTCAAACACAAACTGTCAAATGCTAAATATATCTGCTAATACATTGTTTTTAGTAAAATGATAATTTCCATAGTTTTAGGTCTCTGCAATCACTTCTATGGTGATGAGGCAAAGTGTGATTTTAAGATCAGCTAATAATAAGAATAAACATATAATAATAAGGGAAATATGTTGCTAAATAGTAAGAATAAAAAATGAGACCACATATTCTGAAAACAAAGATAAATTATTTTGAAAAAATTCTGCCACTTATTGGAAGTTTGGTATCATTATCCCCACCCACTTGTAAAGAGTAAAGTCTCTATATGAGAATATTATTATAATAGTTTTGAGTTACTGGAACTAGCCTTTATAATTTGATTAGTTTATATAAGATTTAAGTGTTTGACAGCTACATTTCAACAGGGTCCCTATTATTAACATCCTATTTTACTAAAAAAATTTTCAACCTAGGATAAATGTTCATGCATGCTAGGTACCTCTGAGTTACATTTATGGAAAGCTATGAAGAACAGATAACCTATGATTTAAGCCAATCCACCTTGAAAATTTGTAATATGCACATGCAGCTTGTGAATACAGATACCTGAGAAAAAATGTGCCTTGAAGCCCTTCTTGGATACAGTATTGTCAGATTTGAACTCAATTCTCATATTGTTGAACTGGGATGTGATCACCTCAGGCACCTCAGCACCACAAAATTTGCCGTGCAATTTAGACTCAGAGGAAAGGCCACTCCAAATCTCCACATAATCGTATTTGCAAACCTACCAAAAAGAAAAAAGAAAAAGAAAAATGGCTATTGTAGTCATCAGATTTCAAAGGATCGGATCATTGATGTTTATTTTCTAAATTTTACTTTTCAATTACAGTTGCTATTCAGTATTATTTTACATTAGTTTCAGGAGTACAGCATGGTGGTTAGACAATCATATAGTTTACAGAGAGATTTCCAGTACCCACTGGGCACCATACATAGATATTATAGTATTATTGACTATATTTCCTATGCTGTACTTTACATCTGCATCAAACTGGAATAGGTGAAGGAAAAAAATCAAGAAAAGAGTCTAAATATGAGACAGAAAGCCTTCAAAGACAGATTTGAATATTTTTCTCTGAATATTTCCCTCCAAGAGACTTATATACAATTGTGTGCTTGTTAATACATATTTATGGCATGTATCCAATATCTCTTTTTAAATTTCTAAATGTTTTAATTTTCACTGGAAACTGAAAGAACTTGTCATGTACTGTCTTATTTCATACTAACAACAATTACATGAATTTGGTACATTGAGTCCATGAAACAACCACTAGCAATAGAAATGATATAAATTGGGAAAACTGAGGCTCAGAAATTTTATTTAACTAGCCCCAAATTATACATGTCATATGTGGCAGCGTAGTTATATGGAGTTTGGCTTGGTCCAGAGCTGCCTCCCAGAATATTTATTCTAATCAGAAGGGCACCACTAGGAACTTGCCCAAGTGAGATAGATACTAGGTATATAATAAAAAAGGATCCTTTGCCTTTCAAGCTTACCAAACAACCTGATATTTTATAATTTCTTTGAGTTGCTAGGTACTGTGAAGTTACACTGCAGCACTGCTGCAGCACTGTGAATAAATAAATTCTAGACAGTGGAATGGGGGCAGAAATTTATACTAAAATGAAATCAAATTTATATGCAATGTACAAACACCATCAAAATGGAAGAAGCCAAGTGAGTGCCAGGTCTTCTTAAGCAATTTTATGGCCAGATGTTTCCATACAGCAATCTTAAAGTTGCGACAGGACACATTCTAAAAGAACACATCTTGCGTGAATGACCTTATTACATGAATGAGAAATTAGCAAGTTTAACAATGCATATGATTGAGCCCTGGGGCACAATCTGTACTTTGCAATATGTCAACTCAAATTACTGGTTCTTGTGATATTCATTAGGTGATGAATGAGCAAAATGCTGCTAGGAAAAATGAAATAAGTTTTCTCTCTACTTTGTTACAACTATGACTTTTGTTTAGAGAAGGCTCTGACATAGGAGAATGTTACCAAGGACAAAGTTGTTTGAGATTGACTTTGCTTTTGGATATCAATTTAATGAATAAAATAATCAAGTGTTAACTCAATATTCTATAGGTCAAGTTTTTGCTCATGCCTTCATTTTAAATAGCTGATGTCAAACTATGAAAATACACAGAATTTTGTAACAGCCTCCACACAAGGAACATCATTCTAAGTTTAAAAATTCTGGGATATGTCACAGAGTTTGTAAAGGGTCCTTCCATGAATGAAGACCACTACCATGAGAAAAATGCTTTTGGAACACAATGCTCGATTTATTTAATGTCATCTGTGCTCCCTCCTCCTGAACATAAACTGCTAGCCTTCTTAGGAACATCTATCAGTTAATGAATCAAAATGTCATATATGGCACAACAAAGAGCTTTAGGGAAAACTGAGAGAATAGGTCATTCAACACGAAGTTCATATCAAACCACAATAGCTGGTAGGGAAATTCCCATTTTCAAAAAAGTGACACTCACATGAAAGCTTTTCTAAAAATACTGCAAAAATTATTCTCTTCATTTCAAAGTATCTCCAAGTTTCAGATAACACTAAAGAAAAATGATGTTCCATGTGTATGAAGTACGTTAGAAATAAAAATTTTGGTCTTTCCCATCATGGAACTTACATATCATGTAAAGAAGATCTTAAATGTCCACTGAGCCCTAAAATTCTATAATTCTCTGAAATATATAAGTTCATCACAGTTCATACTTTAATTTCCTTTAACAGTTTCATTTCACCTCAAAGCCATTATAAGAGATTGAAAAACACACAATAGTGCCTTTCAAATAAATTATTTCACTTGTTTAAATGTGGTCACCTGACAGAAAACTGTGCCTTTACTACAGTAACCTTTTGTAATGTAAAGAGAGTATCAATGAAATGCATCTTTAATTGAGGTTAAAAATACTAATTTTATAAATCAAAGGTAGTATCAACTAAATGCATATTTTATTGAGGGTAAAGTATTAATCTGTCCTTATTTGTGAACCATGAGTACATTAACAATAAAAAACTATTTATGTAATAAAAATATAACCATTTCCACAAGTCAATATACAAGCTTCTCCCAGAGGAATATTTTTGCTATGACTCAACCAGTGAGTCATAACAAAAGCCCATGTGACGTAAAGCTGACCCTAATTTTTTCAGTTTTTTAGTAAATCAAAAAATGCTATATATTAATACACTAAATAAAAACTCTCTCCGAGTAATTTTCAGTCTCCCAGAAACAGTCTAAAATATTACCCAGTGCCAACAGGAATTATAAACTGTGGCAGAAATGAGCAGTAGAGCAGAGAAAGACGACAACATCTACACTATTGTACCACTGAAATATAGTCTTTCTTTCTTTACATTTTTAGTTCACCACTTTGCCTTCAGGAATTCCAAAAACACAATAGAAAAAAAATTATATTTATTGTTCACTTACTTCATTGCCCTCCAATTCAAAAAACTCAAACTTCACAGAAATTCTGTACTGGGTTGGGGCGACCACCTGCCACACGCAGTTTTTATTAGGAGGGTACTCCTTGGGCCAGCCTGGAGTGGTTATGGTGCCGTTGAGTTTGGTAAGAAGGCCACCACAGGCCGCTAGAAGAGAAGGAAGGGAAAAGGTTTTCTCTTAACAAAGCCATTCCCACCTTCACACCTTCCCATGATAAACAAGTATCTCGACATTACATTTCAACCGCCTTCCAAATTTTTCAAAACCTGGAGAGCTGCAGCCTCTGTCCATTAGACTTCAGTGCGGCTATTTGAATCATCTGTTCCCACTTATAAACCAATACTTTGTAGCTTTGGAGCCAAGCAAAGTATGGCTGCACTATAACATTTTAGATTTTAAAGTGGGGTGACCAATATAAAGAACACTGGGTGTCAGCATTCTTGTCTCCTAAACGGGTATAATAATATCTACACTGGATGGTTACTATGAGAATCGATGGAATGACACATGTAAAGCACAATGTGGTCTGATGCAGTGAGATCACAATCGAGTTTTTGTTTCTTGAAACTCTTTTTTCCCAACTCCTGGAAAGAGTTGCCTGAGTAGCAGGCAAGATAAACTATAGTAAATGGAACATAGCTGTAACTCCAAAAAGTCCATTTAACAACTGGTTTTCTTTCCCTTTTGGATGATCCACTTAAAAAAGGTACTATTTATGTTACCTCTCTTCCTTATTGAAAGGGAATTTAGCAAAATCAGGGTATCTAAGGGCAAGCTGAGCAAAAAAGTATATTGTACATGGTTTACCACTAATTCCTCGGGAATCAAGGGTTACCTAAAACTGTTCTCTGCTTTATTGCCTGTGTGTGTGTGTGTGTGTGTGTGTGTGTGTGTGTGTGTGTGTGTGTGTGGTTGCCCCCCCATACATATATATCGGGCGGGGCAAAAGTAGGTTTATAGTTATGAGTACATAAAACAGGTTATTCTTGCATTATTTATCTATTGTATTATATTCCATACAAACAACTATAAAGCTACTTTTTTCCCACCCTGTGTGTGTACATGTGTATATATACATATATATGTATCTTTATTTATATATATCTCTTATGTTTACACTTTTAGGAAGAAACAAGAAGTCCCTGATTTTTATAAATACGTAAACCGGGGTGTGGCATTTAATCATTAAGCAAATAATTCTGCCACTTTTGCCACTTACTATGTCTTCTATTACAAATACATTAGAGAACAAGATTTCCTGTGGGGGGAGCTTACACTTTTGTGAGAAACACCAAAAGTAGTAAGTACACGGATGTAAATAATGTTAAGGTGCTACAAGTTCACTGAGAATAATTTCGGCAGAAATTTTCAGAGGGGACCAAGTGAGGACGAGAACAGAGGAAGGCCGGTCAGTTGACGCACTTCTCTGTCATCTGAGCACAGAGCCTGCAGTGCAGAGCAGGGGAAATGGGAAAGAGTCAGCTTCACATTCTGAAGGAAGAGCGCTGGCTGGCGTGGCTCAGCGGACTGAGCGCTGGCCTGCGAGCCGAAAGGTCACTGATTTGATTCCCGGTCAGCGCACAGGCCTGGGTTGCCGGCCAGGTCCCCAGCTGGGAGCCGGCCAGCAGCAGTCCATCAGTGTCTCTCTTGTACATGGATGTTTCTCTCCTTCTCTGTCCCCCTCTCTTCTCCTCTCTTTAAAAATAAATAAGATGTTTAAAAAAGTTCTGAAGGAAGAGACCAGAGGACAGCATAACAAAATACTGTACAAGAAATCTCACCTTCAAGTAACAGAGGAAATGAAGAAAACAAGGCAAAGTGTCTTTGTTTATGAATCTTTTATTAATAAAATGTATTTCGTTCCTGCTTTATATCTGACTGCGTTAGATTCAGAAATACAAAGATGATAAAGAATCAGGACTCTGCAGTTTAATAAGAAAGATGCACCCATAAATTATGTTAAGAAAAGATAAAAGTTAATGATGGGTGCATAGACAGATGAATACAGATCTAGGCCCAACGAGAGAGACAAAAATAGAAATATATCTATAGACTCGATAGATCGACAGATAAACAGTTGGTCTGGTTGGTAACCAAAGGAGGAAATGACTGGTTTTATAATGAGAACCCAGGCAGTTTCACAGGAGCTGTGGCTATAAATTGAGTCCTACTAGTTGAGGAAAGACGTTACTGTAAAGGAAAGGGAAGGAAGCGGGAGGCAGAGAGAGAACGAGGCTATAAGGGAGGAAAGGCCTGCGGCGGAGGGTTCGCGCAGGGAACGCCGAGGGCCCTACCTTCGCAGCTCCTCTTGTCGGGCCCCAGCTCGTAGCCGGGCTCACACGCACACTGGTAACTGCCCAGCGTGTTCAGGCACCGCTGTTCACAGCCCCCGCGGTCAGGTTTGGCGCACTCGTCCTCCTCTGCAAAGACGGCGCGAGTTAGGCAGTGAGCGGAGTATTTTGTTTTTGTATTCTCAGGTGTAAGATTTTTTTGAAAACATAGGCTTAATAGCTTTGAATGAAACTGAGACAGTTCATTGCTTCAAAGAAACAGCAGGAACAATATGCAAGCTCTGAACACATGAAAAACAAGAATTCATGTAACTGCAACCTAAGAACGTGTAAGAACCATGAGAAGTCCTAGACACCTAGGGCAGGGCCAACTGAAGATCATCTTCTCTCACACATACTGGGTGTGGTTTCTAAATTAAAGGTCAAAGGGGATTATTAAAACCTAGAGATTTTTCAGAACCAAACAGAAAAACCGAATAAAGACAGCTTCACCTATTGATTTCATAGTATAGTTTACTAGATAGCCTTAAAAAGGTTTTTAAAGAAACAGATTATGATGAATATAAATCAAAAAGAAAAAACTCAGAAACTCACTGGAACTCTTTAAATTTAAAGCATTCAGTGTTTGTTTTATAAACATACTAATCTGAAAAATATAACAATTCCATATTTTATAAATGAATATACAATTTTAATTATATATGAAAATGTATATGAAAAATATGTACTATTTAAAAAGTATATATGACAAACTACTCTGTGACTTCACTCTCTAGGTTAACTTACTGTGAGTTAGAAAATTAGTAAACAATATTCTTTGAAAAAATTATGCATTAGAAAAACACTAAGCATTTTTGATAACCAAATATATAAATGCCACATGAGAGAGTCCTGATGGAATGTTTCTTCTAACATAGAATATAAAATAAAGAGAAGATTTAAAGCATGTAAATGTACATTGTAATATATATTTTAAATATATATAGTAAAAAGTACAAAGGTTCTCTGCCTTTCAATCCATATTATGAATACCTAAGTAACTCTTAGGAAAAATCTATTATACTGCTGTTCTTTAAATAATAAAAATGGTAGATGTTTACCATGCTAAATTTTGACATATACAACTAAATCCATCACATATACAATAAAATTGATAGAGAAAAATTTTTTCTCTTCCCATAAAGAATTTATTCTACAATGACAAAACTAACATAAGCATGTATGCATTTTCTAAATGCACATATGATGTTACTATTTGTACTAAAATTGTTTTCTTTTTACTTTAGTAACACTAAAGATGGAACATGAAAATAAACTAAAATTTTATTATATAACAAAATTAAGGCTTATAAGTAATAACTCTTTGTCAAAAATAAATTTTAAGTATCAGATCAGTAATAACTCTTTGTCAAAAAAGAGAGACATTTTCGGTATTCCACTAAGGGAGCCAGAAATTATTTCAATGTAGCAAAAGCCATGATGTAACGGGTAATTTCACACTGCTGTCACCTAGAAATAAGCAGATGAACTGCAAGTCAGTAAACCCCTTTCTGGGTATGACTGCAAATCTTTTTCCCAGTCTGTATATCCCTTTCTGGATTTCTCTTTGTTTCATTTAAAAAATGGTAAAATATCCTAATGGAACGCAGACCCTGTGCTACATAATCCAAAATTCCAGTATTTTACGCAATAACCTTTCCCATCTAAACCCACCAAAATCCCCTTATGGAAAGACAGACTTCAACTTTCAGTAAAACTTCACTTTGGTTTTCCCCTACCTCAGTGCTAAATACCACATTTATCCCTGACAAGGAATATCTCACATATCAAGTTATTTCAAATTACCTTTAAAAAAATTGGCAGCAAATCCTGCCTTGTTCACAGTTCCATCAGAAACAAACTTCATCCACAAGGTATTGGAGGTAGATCGGATATCTTCAGGTTTATCATAACCACAGAAACGCCCTATCAAAGGACTATTTTCACTAGTTCCATCTCGAACTTCTAGGTAGTCATAGGCACAGTTGTCATGTCTTTCAATCTTAAAGAGTGAAAAATATATGAACATATACCTCATTAATAGATCAAACAATTTCTATAGAAATATTATTATGTATATGGATATGGTTATATAACAGATGCCTTATATCAAACAAGAACATTTCTTGCGAGCGTGCATGGTAATAGCTACACTGCCTATGAATAAAGCACATATTCTGGTCGACATGGACAGATAAAAAACAAATCTACAGAACAAAACATCTATATGCACCTGGATCAACAATAGTTAACCGCCTTTTAAAAGAAAATTAAAATACAAGTGCTAATCTTTCACAGTAGGATTATATCCTAAATCATAATTTTGAACAACTACCTAATTCTCTTTTATAGTTATTAACCAACATATATTATCATGTATATATTTATATTTTTTTTTCTTAGCCAAACATCCCAAAATAGCATATCACAAGCTTAAAAATGTTAACTAGGATCTCCCTGTCTAGGCTTCCTGTTCATTAACAAAGACTAGTCTACTTAATTTAAACTAATATAAGATACTGAAAAGGATTAAAAGATTACCTTTAGTTAGGCAATTCATAAAGTACCAAGATAAACACTTTTGGAAATAGTTTAGGACATCGTAGCTTGTAGTAGTGATGGGTAAGACGATGCAACATCTATAGTTTTCATAAGGGAAGTATAACCACATCAGTGTGTAGAAACGTGGGGAGTACCTGAACTTAATCCCACTTAAAATAATGTATGGAGATTTCAACATAAACATAAGTAAGCTCTGAGTTTATTTCACTTCTTTTATGCTTTATTAACATTTCCTGAACGTTGTTACTGTAAGCATTTCCAGTATTCCAAACATTTTCTCTTCTGTATTCCTGCATTCTGAAGTGCTCAAGTAAAAGGGTAGTATAGAGGCTTCTTTACAAATCACTGCTGCCAAATCGAAGACAAGCACTCCAAAGAGATTTTAGACATTATCTACCGGCATGCACACTTTCATTTCAGAACTGGTCTTAAGACGCAATGCACCGGTAACTACTAGAGAAAGAAAAGCTTCCCACAGGGTGTGCCTATAGGAGTATCAGGATTTTATAATCCCCAAATAGTGTCCTTTTCTGCTCAGAGGCCCTGGAGATTCATTAACGAAAGCACTTGTTAAGATTTCTCTTTCTGTGCTTACATTAAAATCTAAATATCATTAGGAGAGGTAAAGTCATAATGTAAATTCACGAAAAGGTATAAATAATGGACAGCTAGTAAATTCTTTACAGTAGATTTTAACAGAATGATGGACAAGTTTATCTTAAGGGCTCTTTTATCTGAAAGGAGGGAGAGTGACATAGACAATTAAAAAGTTACAAAAACAGAAATGAAGAATGGCAGATTGATAGCAGTGAATAATAATGGACAAAAATCACAAAACACTGAAGATTGGTGAGGACTTTCTAAAAATTATACATTTTCAACATAAAATGTATAAGCTGTGTGTTGAAAATACATTATGCAAATAAGTTGTTATAAACAAGTAACTGACTAAATGAAACAAACCACCTAATAGCCACTAGAACAAGTTAAAATATATATGCAGTCTATTCTCAGTGTTTGTGGTAGTTAAGTTCTATAAAATCACTGAAAACACTGAATAATGGATAGATTGCTCCTGCAAAAATACTGGGTTAGGTATCTGCAAACTTCCAATCACTAAATTTTTGTCAAGCAATCAATATACAACCTTGTTTTATGTGTTTCTGTTTAAAGGCACCTTAATATATATCATCAATTCATTAACACTGAACTCATGGCCAAAAACACTGTAACTCATGCCTGAACGACGCTCATCTAAAAGATATATTTTATCCACAAGGCACGTCAAAGCTGGGAATGTGCACATCAGATGACCCAAGTACTTTGCTGCTCTGTGCATGTCCATGAATAGCCCAGAAAGCACTGAGTACTGATTTGAGGGTTACAAATAAATTTTAGAGAGTAGGTGGATTTGTAAATATAGACTCTGGGAATAATGAAAATCGACTGTACCTGAGTTTTAATGCTGGTTTAGTGCTCATTGTGTGATGCTAGGTTAATGGCATAATTTCAGTTCCTTAAGATAAAAAGATTTAGATGGTATACGAGAACAGTTCTAAATTCCTTGTCACTTCTGAATACCTTAGAACCCAGGATCTCTAGTTAAATTCAGGCACACTGCATACTAGGTCCTCCATAATCTTAACCTTCCTTACCTATCCAGGCCTGTTTCCTTTTGTATGGAAGCTTGTGCACTTCTGATAAAGGATATATTAACTTCCAGCCATCAATCACCATGTGCTCACACACTCACATATAACTCATCCATCCATTCATTCCTCCCATCATCAAATAGTAATCATGCATCTAGTAGTGCTGGAGATACAGTGATCAACAAGATCAGTAAGATTCCTACCCTCTGATGATCATATATAGTGAGACACAGACAAAGACCATGTAAACAAATCCATAGCAAATTCCAAAATGTGTAAATACAATGAAGTAAAGTAAAATAGAATAATGATTTACAGACAATTGTAGGTAAGAAAATATTTTCAAGTTACCAGGCAAAGATTTTTTAAGGAGGCAAGAATTAAGCAGAAATCTGCATTAAGGAAAGGAGGAGGAAAAAAGAGATCTGGATGTAGAACGCTGTGATATGGGGGTAAACTTGGTGTTTTTGAGGAAAGAAGGAAGGCCTAGAGATGCTGGCACAAAGAGAGGGAGAAGGAGCTTGGGACCAAACCACGGCTTGCCTTGGTCCATGGTAACTAAACCTGTGTTTTATTGTAGGTATAATGGAAAAAGTCTGAAAAAATTTAAGCAGAGTAGCGTTATGACCTAACTTACATGATAAAAGTATCATTCTGGCCCTGTGGTGATTGGGGTCGAGAGGTAAGGCCACCACCAAGTTTCAAGAGAAGGGGTGGGGGTGGGAACAGAGTGGTGGCCAGAAAGTAGGTATAAAGTGCTCATATAAGGCACACAGATGGAAGAAAAAATAAATGGAATGTGCTGATGGGCTGGCCTCAGGGTTGAAAAGTAGAATTAAGGATATTCTTTGAGTAGACAGTGACATGCTGAAATAGTAAGTACTGAAATAAGGAAAAAATCAAGAAGTGTGGGTTAGTAAGACAATCAAAGGTTTGGGGCTAGTCATTTAAAGATGAGACTCCTAGTAGACATTCAAATATATCCAATATATAAATGAAGGCAGAAAAAAACCCATAAGGAAATAAATAAAAATTAAGGAAGAACAGGAAAACTGAAGATAATAAATAAAATGTACCGTGAGCCAAACTATGACATCGCTCTTCCCCAGTCCTAAAGCTTAGTAATAATGTATTCATTCAGTCAATCAACAAGTATTTGTTTTAACTACTCTGTGTTTGGCATGGTTCTAAGTGCCTGAGATGTAAATCTTTCCTATTTGTCCTTTATACTATCCTAGTTTTTAGATGCATGGAATAAATGCATTTTCTGACATCACTTCTGTACTAGAATTCCATAAAACATTGAGTTATATATTGAAAGACAGTTCATTGCTTAATTTTAGCAATATTACAACATACAAGTAATGAGGTTATTAGGTAGATAATATTTCAATGAACCAGTTCTTTTATTTTCTATACAGCAGGTGAATCCTACCCAATTTTAATTTACTGTTAATGATAAAGTGGTCTAATTTGAATAATGTTTGCAATCTTATTGATCCATTAAAATAACAAAATGCAAATGTGAATCTAATAATCTCAGAACCAAGTTTTTCAAATATGCAAATTGCTAAGAGCATGAACATGATCCCAGCAGAAAAGATCATTTTTTTCATGATTAAAAAAATGTGTCTTGGAAATTAAATGGCACAAGCAAAGAGGTAGGGATGAGGCTTAAAAGACATATGACAGAGTTTGCAGATGGGGGTGCGCTCTTCTCAGGTCTATGATTAAGTGATGCCTGACCGCCCTGGGGCTCCTGCTGTGGGGACAGACCCCACGGCACTCGCTGCACCCAGCACCCTCCGGAGGTGGACGGGGCCCTCTTCTGCCTTCTGTTTGCTTGGACAGCGAATTAGCCTTCTAATCAATATGGTAATAATCTCCAGTTGTGGCATCTCACCACCCCTGCCAGGACCTACGACCACCGTCTCATCATGCCTTCCCACTACGCTGGGGCTCTCAATTTCTAGACAGATTTTTTTTTTATTATTATTATTTAAACACACTCCGGAGCTCCTGATCGTTCCCCCCATCTTCTGGCTTCTAATCCCTAACTCAGTTCTTCTGACCCTACAAAAATCACTCATTAGCCAGCTTGGCAATTTGGGGCCCAGACTGTGCTCCAGAACTCTGACAGCCTTCGGTTTATTCTGTCCTCATCTAATAATGCGATGCTTGTGCTGACCTCCTCCTCGATAAATATTTTTCATGAAGTCAAAAGCTCCTAAGAACACTTAAATCCCTATTTCTGATATAAACAATTTTCTGTATAATGGCAAAAATGGATTTTTCCCCAACAACAACAAAAAAGATGGTCTACCTTTTAACCTCTTAGTTTAGAAGAGAAATAAAAGTTCTATTATTTAATGGACCCTTCAAACAGTCTTGTGAAACAAGCCAGTGCATTTGTCAAAAGAAACTATTGTCAGTACTTCAAACATTCTAATTCAAATAGCACAGATAATGTAAACTCACTTTAATCTTCTAGAAAATGTCTACAAGAAGAGAAGAGATGGGGGGAAAACTGCTTTGGCTCTTGATGTTACATTTTATAGGCAACCCTTTGCTTCTTGGCTGATTAAAAAGCTGATTCTCTGGTTCTTTGCTTATTTAATGAGGATCCCTTTAAATGCCACTGTCATTTATGGAGCACATGCCCCGAGAAGGTTCCTGAAAGACTTTACCTCAAAGGCCTGAAAGGTCAATCCGACATAGTAGTCTTCTGTCACTGTTATTTTCCACACGCATTCTTTCATAGGTCTGTAGTCATCAGGATAATTAGGAGACTGAATCTGTCCTTCATTTTTACGTATCTCACCTCCACAGATTGCTGAGGAAAGCAAAAATAAATAAATAAACCCAGACACGCCATTTCATTTTCATTTTCTTCTTAGATAACATTTTAGTTCAGTGCCTGGAGCTGAGTCCATAAAGACCAGGTTATAACAATCAAAGTTGGCTGGTTGTACTGTTGTAAATATTTAGATGCCGCTTAAAAAAACAAACAAATAACAAAACCTAGCCGCTTAGCTATAAGTATTAGATAATAGCACAGGAATACATGATTTCTTAATCGCTATTAATTCACATCTTTACTCCCCCAAAAGCATATTTTAACACTTAAAAGCCTTTAGAGATTTTGTGCATTTAGTAGTGTGAGTTTGCTCTTGATTCCCTGAGCAGCTTCTCTCGGTGTTTCGACCTCAGGTGAAATAACTGAGCAGGAGAGGACTTCCCAGGGCCTTCTGTGCCTGTGGCAGGGAACTGGCGCCAGGTGCTCAACATCTGCAGCTCCATTCAAATAACCCTTTTCACTGCCATGCAGTTAATCTTTGAAACAAAATGCCTCCATTTACTTCAAAGTTTAAGGGAAGCAAAAATCTTCCATCTTCTAAATTTCTCGAGCTCCTGTCCTAGCAGAGGCAGGAGCAAGAAGGGTCTCCTCCACCCACAACCTGGCGAGCAGGGAGCAAGCCAGGGAGTACAATGCCGATGTATTGTCTTCGAGAAGGAGAGAACAAAGCGCCTAGTAAACTCTTCCCTGAATGCTGACCCTCTCCTTTGGACAATGCATGCTCCAGAATGTGCACAATTCCTTTCTGTGCAGTTTCCTAAAACAGAGCATTTCAGCAATCCAGGCACCAAATGGACACAAATTCAGTATGAAGGAAAATGATAATTTCTTCATAATATTCTAATACTGGCGTGAAAAAACATTTGCAGTTTAAGAACTCTTGTGCCCTCCTGCTCCCTTCCCACACACGTCCCTGAGTACTTTTTTATGTTAGTATATCATTAGTACTAGAAAACAGGTTGTTCCTGCAATTTACATTTACCAAGTAGTTTTATTAAAAATCATCCTCGTGAATATTTAACACAAGTTTTGAAAACTCCATAATTAAAATATAGTTACAGTATCACTCTACTGAATTTGTATATTTTTTTTGTTTTTCCTCTCTCATGCTTCTGAAAGAAAGGATATTTCTGTTACGGGCCCTGAGAAGACATAATCTGTTAAACTCTATGCGACTTGCCTTCATAGAGCGCTGCAAAGCCTTTTCCTACCCAATTACTGCTGCTACGAAACTCAATCCACATTCTGCTGTCTGTAGAGGTGAGAACTTCAGGCAATTTGTCCCCACAGAATCTGCCTAAAAAAATAGAAGAATAAAGAGAGGCTCCTAAATATGACTCTATATTCTACTTGCTTTCCACATTAGCTATAAATTATATATAAAACCTGATTTGGTTCCTGTCTCTATCCTTAGTAACTAGAGTCATAACTATACCTTAATATTTACTTAATAAAGGTAGATAAATAAAACAATCTTTTTGTATCCATTTATAAAATATTAAAACATGCTCCAATTAACCAACTGATGTCGGTATCTTATCTGTAGAATGAGGAATGAGTTCAAAAGACATACTTGTAAAAAGTCATGTGATACATCAAGGTGGAGAATATTATTCTATGAAGAACAAAAAAGTACAAGAAACCGGTTTAAATGGTCCGTCTGGTCCTTAGGAGAGGAATAACCTCGTTAAAGTATGTCTCAATTCAAAGCCAGGTTCTTTGTCTGGCCAGGGCCAGTGATGGCTCATCAGGGAAACCCATGTGTTGCTCTGAGGATCTTACGTCATTGCACACATTCCACCTCACCTATAAAGCTCTCACCTGTAGTGTAGTAGGCAGAATAGCAAATGTATCAGAAAAATGCAGTATAAGTTCTGACTTTTTTCTAAATATATATCCATGGGCAAGAATAATACCAAAGGAATATAATGATTCCTGTCATATCTTCCTTCCCTCAGCCCTCCACAAATATTTAATTCTTACTGTATGTCAGCCACTGTACCCTAAGTTTCTGTAAGATGACAAAACGGTTAAATACGACAAAGCACATGAAATAATTCTACAAACAATAATACACTGTCATCCATTTTTGCATGCCCTGGCAATGATGTCACACACAATTTTAGTATATTATAAATGGCAGTCAGTGTACAATAAATTCACAGTAACAGCTAACAGGTGAGGAACTGTCTTCCTAACTGGCAAAGTACATTACGGGCATGTAAAAGGGAGCAATGTTTCTTAGACACTAACATGCCTATGAATGCCAGGGAGTCTTTTAAAATACAGTCTCTAATTCAGAAGGGATGGAGTGGACATGAATTGCCACATTTTTAACAACCCTCCAAGTGACGCTGATGCGGCCAGGCTGACGAGTACACTTGGTTTTGGAGGGCATAGTGGGGGGAGCTTCCCACGTGGATCTCCCATCCGGCTAATCCGATGAAAGCGGTGTGAAGGGCCCTCAGCTTCTGCAGCGTGTAATGCTGACGGTGCTCTGAAAGGTCGCGGTCTCCAGTACTCTAGCTTTGCCCTTGATTCTTCAACATGAGGTTGGTGAAATGTTTCCTTTGGAATGCACATCCATATATCACACACTGCTTCAGCTAGGCTAAGAAACCAAATGCTGAAGACAATATTTTCTTCAACCTGACTTATCAAATTAGTTCAAGTCTTTATTTTCTTTTTCCTTCCTTTTAAATACTTCTACAGGTTTCCTGGATTTACTAAGGCTGCTGTCATTTTTAATACAACAGTGCACAATCAATAGGTTTTAGATGGTAAGAAAAAAGATCTGTTGCAGTGCATAAACACAACTGAGCAAAGCTACTTCTAAGAATAAAGGAAAAGCCACAATCTCAAAAAAAAAAAAAATCAATATAGAGTCGATGCTGCCATGCTCACAACAGCTCTCATCGTTAAGTAAAACAGAGGCAACAGGAAAGTGCCTCATGCAAGTTAATGGTATGGTCTGTGGTTCGACGCTGGCAGCAGACTCTCCTGAGCATCAACTCTGAGCTACAATTTATGACCCAAACTGCAAAGGTCTCTTCTCAGCCACAACTCAGAGAAGCAAAGCCGTGTCGTCTACAGCACAGTTGAAAATGCTTGGCCTGGGGAGCCAGCTACCGACAGCTCTACTGAACCAACTCCCCTTCCACTGCCTGAGCAAACAAAACAAAACACGGACACACACAATTGGGCTGGTTTTCTCATTAAAACTATGTGTTTAAAATTAAAAATACAGACACACTGTGATAAGTAGCCATGCTAAGTATAATATGTGTGAAAGCTATTCTAAATCATTAGCGAAATCAGACCTGAGTACTACTTCATAATTCAAGCCATTTAAAGCCATTTACTTATTTTTCGATCTGTCTGTGAGTATTTTTACTGCAGTTTAAAAAAGTATAATAAAATGAAAATGTTGGTCACATACAATTTTAACTCAAAGATGACTTTAGGCAGAACAGACTATACGCATAGCCACACAGACAGTAAACCATCTCTTACCAAGGAGAGCGGACTTCCTCCAGTACCCATCTCTTACTTCAATGTAGTCATACCAGCACAAGCTACTTTTGTATAAGTCCATCGTGGTAAAATTTAAAACAATCTGCAAAACAGAGAGAAATGACACAGAGAGTAAAAATGATTGTACCTGCAGGTGGTGATTGGATTCCTGGCCGTCAGAAAGCCAGGGCAACTGGGAAAACAAACAGATGCTATTTTTTTTTTCTAAATTAGTAATTCTCCTAATATTTTTTTCTTTACAAATACCACAAAAAACCTAATTTCCTCATTCTCATTAACGTTCAACAATATAAAAGCACAACACTTTAGCAACTAAACCAAAGTTTCCATAAATTTGACCAATTGTGAAACAAACAGAAACCTTTATTCATACAGTGTATTTTGACTTCTCTAAGATAAACATGACTTAAACCGTGAAAAATTCTAATTTCACCATAAATGTCTTTTTTAAAAAATTTATTTCAGAGACGACCAGACATATATAATCATGTTAAAAATAAGCATCATGTGCCATATTCCTAGAACATAATATTATTGTGTATGTTGAAATGTTTTAAGAACAGCTCTAGAATTTGAATTTGTTCATGTAACTGTAATTAAAGGCAGATGTCATTATGCTTCTCTAGATCCAAGAATATATATTCAAAGGCCTTTCAAGTTAGATCTTGCACATGACCCTTTATTTTGTACTTTGTTTTGAAATGATTTGCTTTTTGTAAAGATAATTCAAGAACAGCTCTTGGAAAGACAATTTTCTCACTGCTTTATAAAAAGGCTTTACTTTTCAAATAATTAACTCTTTTTTTACTTCATTACACCAAAAGGAGAGCCAAACTAAGGAGACGTTCACCTACCTGCTGAAAAAACTCATTTGGAAAATATTTTTTATATTCAAAAGCTCATTCTAACTCTATTCTGCTTAAAATAGCTAAGATAATTAAGGCATATAGGGAACCTGGTTCTTTATTCCAAAAACTGAAATAGGCTTTGGCTAAAAGCAACACATTATAAATATTTAAAATGCTTCTAACATAAAAGTAGTTTGTAACAATACTTAAATAACCGTTTTGTGATGGTGTAAGAATCTAGATATAATGCTCAATGAATGACAAAAGAAAAAGAAAGAATAAAAAATATATTGATCAATCCTGAACCCATATTCCAGGTATTACTATTTTTGCATTAGGAAACATATATCTCTCCCCTCTCTTGATATTTAACAGAAAGTTAAATACTCATTATGACCAATCAATCTTAAACTAGATCACTTCTTCCTAAAATAAAGATACGGCATAACAAAGACACATCTCTCACGGCACCTTACATCTCAACATCGCAATGATCGTCCATGGGATTGTGCGCCAAAGTTGGTGACAGTAGCATGTGCACATAATCATTTTACAGAGACAGAAGCTAAGAGTTTATCTGACTAGAGTGAAAGTCAATCGCACCTTATAGTGGCATTAACATGTCGCCATTAAATTCAATGTGCCTCGGTTTCTTTAAACATGCTTTCTAGATTACAAAGAGATGAAGTCTACCAAGGATGTAAAAAGAGAGACACAGGTTTTTAAATGTAATACAGTAGGTATAGCATAATTTGGTTTTAATGGGTCATTTATTTTTATCTACCTTATTTATAGTGTTTCTTTTTCCTTCTTCTTTTTCTTTTCTTCTCCTTCGCCTAATTTCATCATTTTATATATTCTCAAAAATGTTTACAAAAATTTCCAAAATAACCACAGACAAAGGACTTACCATTTTCTTTCTTTTTCAATAATCCTCAACCGTTGATTATAAAAATACATCATTTCTGAACTATTTTTCTAAAGATCCCAATATGTTTTCCCCTCCATCTCTGAATACCAATGCAATATTGTTATTCTTAGGACATAATTGGGAAATAACTTGTGGTTTTTCTCCTTAACTTGTATTTACTTTGTCTGCCGCTTAAATGGGGAATACTAACAGTGCCTGATATTAAGTTTTAGTCACTTTTTTATTCTCCTTAAAGCAATCACCAGAATTTCAACTCTATGTGATCATACAAGAATTCATTTATTATGGCAGAATACAGACACAAACAGTAGACCCCAAGGCTTATTTTGTGGCTTCCCTCTTGGATTTAAAGGGGAATTTTATAATAGTGTGCAAATAATTTCAACTTCCTCCTCAAAGAGGAGAGAAATCAGCTAAACTGAAACTATGTATATCATCAAATTTTATTGAGAATTGAAACAATGTGTTTGGATTGCTAACAAATAGTTAATATTTGAAGTCTGGAACACACACATGCACGCGCACACACACATTTGGAAAAGGAATAACACTAAACAGAAAAGTTTCCTATCTTGTTTTTAATCTTCTATTTTAAACGCCAAGCACCATGGAGAAACAAAACTGGCCTACTTTAATATAAAACACAGAGTTCTTTTGAAGCAGAAAATGTAATAAAGATTAAGTTTTCTAAAAATCAAATCTTAGGGCTCGGATGTAGAAGTGAAATGCTGGCCTTTGACTAAGGCTGCAAACAGAATCCACACTTGAATTATAAATGATAAACACAGGAAAATACTTGGTTGTTTTATATAATGCTATTTTATGTAAATATGTTGCATTTTTTCAAAGAATGGCTAAATAAAAACTACTGAGCACAACTATATAAATGTTTTATTTATGATAAGTATCACCAGTTATCAATTTAAAATTAGCCATAATTCCTTTGTATTTGAGGGAGAGACAAGGAACAATTCTAAGATTTGTTCTTTGACATTATTCTGTGAAGTTAAATTGATAGAAATGCCATGGAGTTTGCTTATTAAACACTCTGCTTTACAGCGATGCTGAGTGAAGAACACTGAAGAAAGATCAATTGTCTAGGGACCGAATGTCTGCAAGTCTCAAGAGAAAGATGTCAATGAACTTTTGTCAGCACAACAAAGACGTTATTGACCACCTAAGCTAATTCCATGAGCACCACAGAAAGACCAACTAGCACAACATTTATAGCTTATAGTGCTGAGGATGGAGAAGATGTTGCAAATCCTGTCAATTAGATTGATATTATTAAATGGCTCTTTCAAAAGAGATATTAGAATCAACAGCAGTAAATTAAATAGATTTCTGGGCTTCAGCCAGAAGAAGCTTGGACAAGTCTAATAAACTCTCTAGGGAAACTACAGTTTTTTTTTTCTCAGAAATAAGACAAGGAGCAGAAGAACAGGGATCAGTAAACTACACCCCATGGGCCAAATCCAGGCTGCAGCCAGTTTTTGTAAAGAAAGTTTTCTTGGAACCATTCCTTTATATATTGTCTAGGTCTGATTTTGAGAAACAATAGCAGAATTGAGTATTTGAAACAGACTGTATAGCCTGCAAAGCTAAAAATATTTTCTGTATATCCTTTCCAGAAAAATATGCCAACTCCTGGAATAATTGATCGTTAAAGTTTTGTTTGGCTCTGACTACATCGTGCTAAAGGGAAAAATTTGCATCTTTCCCTACAACTAGAAGCCATTTGTGATTGGGAGTCAAAAAGCCTAGGTTAAAGTTCTAGCTACTCAGTTGCTAGTGTACTTCAAATTTCTGAGGTTGAATGAATTTTCTTACTGTAAAATGGAGGTCTTCATATCAAGCTGATCTCAGCAGAATTAAATCAGAAGGATCTAATTGGATAATGTGTAGGAAACATAATCTGAAGCATTGTTAAGATTCTCATGTACTATTATTTTCAGGCTACTTATTCAGACATCCCTCACAATATAAATGCTGAAAACAGTTATGAAATAAAAGTATTAATCCAATTTAGTCAATCCAACTATACTGGGAAACATAAAATTATAGTCTTAATTATTAAAGTTTCTCAGGAACATCAACATATCAAAGTAAAGGATTCTTTAAAATCTAAAGAAGAGTGGCTTTGGTTCAAATCCCTGGCTTACCACAGGCTGGTTGTGTGACTCCGGTAGATCTGTGATTCCCTCAGGGATTAATTATATGATGGGTGAAAAACAGGAGTTGGACTACGCTATAAAAATAATTTTTCTGCTTAAATGTATATGATAATATCTGGATTTTGACATTTTGATTTGTCTTCACCAACTACTCACAGGGACATATTTTATATACCTCCCTTTCCCTAAACCCCGCCCCAACTTCCTACATAATCAGTTGTAACTTCTATAGATGACAGTCCGCAATGCCGCTGAAAACGTTCTCCTCCCTCCTTTTTCAGTCACTGCTCTCGAGGCTTCTCTGCACTAACTGCACCAACTCCAAGATCTGAGCTCTCTTATCTCTCCGCAAATCCATGACAAACTGTATCTTGCTTTCTTCAATTGTTTTTCAAAGACAGTCTATTTTGTTACTAGGCCTTGTCCTTGGTATAGGTGCATAAGCTTCTTGATAGCAAAGATTTCTTTCACACACCAGAAGGCACATTTTATGAATCAACAATTTATCTCTTCAGTAACTCTAAATTTAAGCAGTACCTTTGGCAATATAAACAATATATTGTAAACTGACTCCATATGTGTAAACCATTAGATGAGTGGTTAACAAGAAATTTTTTGCAAAATGAAAGTACTCTCAAATAATAGCTTTTAAATGGGTTACACAGGAAAAGAAAAAAAATGTTAACTATATTCAGTGCATAAGATGTCTGCCCTCGTTAAAAGATCAATCAATTCTAAGGGATGGAAAAATCAATATTATATGCTTTTATCAGCTGAATACAGCTACATTCTCAGGTGCACATCCTGGACTGTTACCAACATGTACTGTGCAACATCAAGAACAGCCTTAGATTGGACAGGAATCTGTCTGTACCTTGGCAGGCTCAGTCCCACAAAGACATACACGTGCACTGACAATCTCTTTTTTTTTATTATGGTAAAACATACACATAACATAAAATTTATCATTTTAACCATTTTTAGTGTACAGTTCTGTAGCATTAAGTACGTTCACATTGTTGTGCAATGATAACCTTACTTTTTAATATTTTTCCTTTATAAAATAATATATACTTAGTCCTGGCTGGTGTGGCTCTGTGGATTGAACACCAGCCTGTGAACCAAAGGGTTGCTGGTTTAATTCCCAGTCAGGGCACATGCCTGGGTTGCGGGCCAGGTCCCCAGTTGGGGGTGTGCAAGAGGCAACCACTCATCAATGTTTCTCTCCCTCTCTTTCTCCTTCCCTTCTCCTCTCTCTAAAAATAAATAAATAGAATGTCTTTTAAAAAATAATATATGCTTATTATAGATAATGAAAGGAAAAAGAAATCAAACCTATATATAAATCCAACAGGGAGAAATAAGCATTGTTTTGGTATAGTCTTCTGTAATTTTGTCTGTAACAAAATTTCAAAATTAGTATTTCAAAAATTAGATGTTTCATGCTTATGACTTTTGACCTACTTATTAAATTGCCCAATTAAAAAAAAATTTCCCCATATGCTGAAAACATAGTCCTCAAATGTTTGTAAAAAGGGTGTCATGTTTTTAGGTAATAATTCATGTGACTATCTTCAGAGAGATAAATCTAGTGGCATTTTATATCATGTTTTATTCCTTCTTAATGAGCATAATTTAATAAAGAAATTATCAGATAAGCCTTTCACTTTTACATCGGCCATTCTGTATGTTTTTGTAAAATAGAATAATCTTTTAAAATTTATTATAAATTCTCTGAACTATTTTGTCTCTTATTTAATGAGTCCAACAAGAATAAACATAAAGCAAAGCATAACTGAGAAATGAACCATTGTATTTATATAAGAGTAAAGGAGAACTGTAGGTGTTATAAACTACCTTCTCCCCAGGGGTCACAGAAACTCTCCAGATGCAGTGTGTGTAAGAAGGGTAGCCATTTGGAAATCCTGGAGAGGAAAGGTTGCCGTTGGATTCTTGTAGGGTTTCTCCACATGCTGAAATAAAAATAATAAAAATGTTTTTTGATTTTTTTAAAAAGATGACATCCATGTGTCCTAAATAGATTAGATCATTCTTTAATTTTATGAAAGGTATGAGCATCATAGTTAAACCCTTGAGTCTTTAGGTGTTAGACAAGAGCATGTGTTTGTATTTTATAATAGACTTTTCCTTTCTAAGTAATTTCTTTTGATATCTCTCTTACCAGAGTTTCACTATACTTAATGTGATCGCTAGGGCTACCCATATAACAAGATTAGGATATATATAATCTTGCATGCATAAAGTTCCTCCCGATGGAAACCTTTGCAATTCATTCCCAAGGAGCCAGTAGCCAACTTGTAAGTGACTCATATTTCAGTGCAGGCCAGTGGATACCTAGTTGATGTATCTCTGAGACCACATGAAACATACCATCAACATACTCTATATAAATTGAGGCTAAGTTCAATAGTAAATTCCATATCAAAGGTGAAAAAATCTATCTTAAATAATAAACAATAAATAATCAGTAAGAGTGGTACCAAAATGTCATCACAATGAAAATGTTTTTTCAAAATAAGCCCCATAAAAATTGAAAGATAAAAACATCATGGAAGACTTAAATTTTCCAACAGGATATAGATATTTATTCTTTCTTTTCTGTTGATCTTAAGTAGAAATTGCTGGAAAAGCAATTACATTTTTGTCTTAGTAAGACTGTCTAGTTTCTTGGAAGTAATTACCAATCATCTGAAATAGCAAATTATCAACTCCACAGCCTTCAGATTGATGTGATTGATATCTCTAGGGCCATTTCAACAAAAGCAAAAGCGAAGTATAATTAGTTCATTGGTTCAGCCAAGGTTAGTGGTCAGAACCATTCTCTAATGGTATGAGCTACATGAACCTAGGGTGCTTTAAGGGTCTTTAATTAAAAAACAGCCAGTTATCTTTAAACTTTTACTCAACAATTTGAAAGAACAGTTCTGTCTCTCTGAAGGCAAATGAAATCAAAACTGAGATATTACCACATTATAGAGCCACAGCTACCAGCAAGGGAACTCTTGTCTCATTAAATCCTCAATAAGTTATAAATGGTTCTGCATGTCTTAACTTAAATGAAGAAAGATGATGACTTTGAAAATACAAAATAGAGCTGTAAAAAGAGCCTGATATATTTATTAGATATACAGATATTATGTTTGCACAACAAATAAATGTAAGAGTAAATAATGCTTATTCTGATGAATAGATAGATAAAGGCAACTTTAGAAAAAATGAAAATGCTCATGGTCAAAAATACATAATTCAGCCTCTTTCGTGAATCATCTAAGGTCACTTGCTAAATATAACATTAAAAGAACCCTTAGAAAAATTAAATTTTGTTAAAATTTATTAATGCAAACAGTGTGCTTTTGAATAAAATCAGTTTAGATGCTAGATAGCCATTTTGAAGTTGAGTGTGTTTCAATGAAAATAACTATAATTCACAGTAGCTTGAAAATGAATTCTGCAATGATTGAAAACTCTACTAAGTCACATGGAATACTGGTACTGTATTTCCTAAAGTGGAATTAAAACAAATATATTTAAACTACAAATATAACAATAATAATAATATAATAAAAAAAAGAGACTACAAATGAAAAAAGAATACAGCAAGTAATTCAAAAATTTAATAAATATTTAGCACCCACTTATAGTGTAAGACGTGCAAACAAGAGTCAAATTGTGGCAATTATTTGCCCAGTATACTCAGTAAGTATGGTTGTTTCAGGCTACCCGATTCCTATCTACAGAAGATTTTCATGAGTTTTCCCAGCCATTTCTTGGTTAATGCTCAGATATAAAAAGCAAAATTTATTATTACGGAATTAAAGGAAAATTAGCAAGGGAAATCATAGCAATGCTAAGTAAAAATGCATAGTCTGTCCATTTATTCTGCAATATATATGGATAAGAAAATTTTTATGGCATTACTACTTATTATGTCACACAAGTTAAGACTCCTAAGCTTCAACCTCAGTTTTCTCTTTTGAGAGGTGACTCTCTTGTTGATAGGCATTTCATAAAGTTGCTTTGGAGGGGTCAAATATTATGATGGCCTAAGTCCTCTTCCTACATATCTTTTCCACAGATAGGAAGGATGTGGTCTTAATTGTTAGAATGTGTCTTTAAATTACAAAATGCGGTCATATTCAGGAAAAAGAAGGCTTTAAGAAATATACAAAGGAAATTATTATCACTGTCCAACTCCTCACCAAAAAAAAAAAAACAAAAAAAAAAAAAAAAAGGGGGGGGGGGGGGGGGGGGGGGGGGGGGGGGAGACTGTTTTAAAAAGTTAATTAAAAAAAAAGAAATTACTCTAAAACAAAACATAATTCAGAAGTTGGAGCTCTAGCTTTTTAGGTAGATGACATGATCTTGTATATATAAAACCATTAAGATTCCACACATGCACAAAAAAAAAACAAACCCAAAACCTGTTACAATAAACAAGTTCAGCAAAATTGCAGGAGAGAAAATCAACACACAGAAAATCAGTTGCTTTCCATACACTAGCAATGAATAATCTGAAAAGGAAATAAAGAAAACAATCCCATTTATAACAGCACTAAAAAGAATAAAATATTTAAGAATAGCTTAACCAATGAGGCAAAAGATTGTACATTGAAAACTACAAATCATTACTAAGAGAAATTGAAGAAAACCACAAAACATCCCTAAAACAGAAATCAAAGCAATGGAAATAAACCCTGTCTTCATGGATTAGAAGGCCTAATATTGCTAAAATTTCCATACTACCCAATGTGACCTAAAGATTCAATGCAATCCCTATTAAAGTCCCAATGGCATTTTTTTGCAAAAATAACCAAAAAAGTCCTAAAATTCATATAAAACCACAAACTCTGAATAGCCAAGGTCAAATCTGGAAGCTTCATACTTCTTGATTTCAAAACATATTATAAATCTACAGTAATCAAAACACTATGGTATTGGCATAAGATAGACATGTAGACTAATGGATCAGAATAAAGAGTTGAAATAAACCCACATATATACAGTAAAATGATATTCAACAAGGTTGCCAAAACTACACAATGGGGAAAAGACAGTCTCTTTAACAAATGATGTTGGGGTAACTAGGTATACATGTACAAAAAATGAACTTAGACCTTTATTTCTCACAGTTCACAAAATCAGCACATAACACTTACATAAAAGATAGATATCCCCAGAAGCCCCTATATTTTAAGGTATTAATCTATTTTACATTCTTACTAATTTCACTGTTACTTTACATATTTAATTAAGAAAGAATTACTGAGAGAATATTAGGGTTGATAGTTGATGTTAAGTACTAAGTAGTTAAAAGCAGTAAGATCTTTGGGCTACAGAAAAATGACAGTAAGAGAAAATGCAAATAAAGACCAGGGATTATATCAGGAGAAGAGTTAAATTAAGCAACTTAGAAATAAAAAGATAAAGTTATGCCTAGAAGAAGAAGCCCTCCCCAAAAAGAAAGACAACAAGAGAACAAATACATCATTTGTGAAGAGAAGATACACTAAAACTCATACACCCTAGAGAGGTTCTGCTTCACAAGCAAAATGCAAATTATTGGGATAAAAGAAAGACAAAGAACTGTAAAGATGACTCATCCTCCACCCCCATGTGGACACTTTTTGTCCTGACAGTATGTAGGATGCAAGAGATTATGACAGGCAAGTGCCATCAGCTGGTGTCCATTAAGATGTCTTAACTGTAGACAGGCTTGGAATCTGTCTAGAAGGACACAAGATTGGCCTTTGGGCAGCAATGCCCAGAAACCTATTTACTCCCACTGTTGAGCGGTTCTTCCTTTCCCTTCTTTTTCCTTTCATGGACCTGTGTCGTCTGGCAATGGATGATTGTATCTTCTATCAGGATGGTGCCAAGGCTATAAAGGGCCACACCCTTTCTCATATAGCAATGTGCAGGAGGCTTTTCTTGCCTGCTTCTAAAAGAGCAAGCAAGCAATGGCAATGAAAACAATCCCAAACTAAAGGAAACTTATCTTCATTGCATCACCTTAAAAACACCACTATATTCCTGTACGGAGCTTTTTCATGACAAGTATGCATTGACTATAAAGTAAGTAACAGGTTTCAGAAACCAGTTTAACTTATATTTTTGGCATATATAAATAGATAAATATAATAATGAATTACAAATTAGTTATCGGTTAGAAAGTCCCACAAAGATAATAGTTTATATTGTTTTAAGGGAATTAAAAACATACATTTTTGATGCCATTCATCTTCTGATAGATAAAAACACATTTTCTATATTATCAAAGGAGGAGCAACTGTATTTGCAGCCTGACTACTGTGATCGGCTATCAAACACTTGCCCTCTTGGACTCAGTACCCCACTTATCATATGCCATAAAATCTACAACCTTGGATATCTATGTGTGATCTAGGTCGGCACTCCTTCCAATATTAAACTCTAAGGACATCTCTATAAAATGCAGAAATAATAGAGCTTTGAGCATAACCTGATACAGAGTAAAAAAGTTGCAGTAAAAAGTAGCCAAATATCTCTCATTGACTCTATTCACCAGCAATTTCTAAGAAAACTGTAAGGCCAACTTGAAAGAAATATGCAGTTTTATCACCCCTCCCCTCTGTAATAAAACCAAGACACAACCAGATGTCACCTTATACACTCTTACTTTCTGCTTAGGTGATTGTCAGATAAGCCATCCTATTTAGACTTCAATGTGTAATTATGGATCTTTACCAGTATTCCATTGAGGCACTTGGAGTTACTGTTAAACCTACTGCATCAGTGTAGCTGACCTGTATTTTGCCAAAAGCAAGTATATTTTTACCAATATCACTAGTGCTCCCATTGTGAGGGAATGAAGAACTTTAAATACATAACCATGGGCGGAGGGCGGGAGGGAAGAATGGAAGAGGGGGTACAGTGGCTTATGGGAACGAAGAACAGAAATAGGGAGATCAGAAAAAGAAGAGGGGGAGTTGGTTGGTGAGCACCAAGGACGGATGATTACGAGAGATCGTGGGATGGCAGCACTGTGAGGTACAGAAATGTCCAATCGCTATATTGTGGACCTGAAACTAATATAAGATTGAATGGCAACTATACATAAATTAAAAAAATGAAAAACAAAAATATCAAGTCAAGTCATTTTTAAAGACTTTGAGAACGAAACATTAACACATCTTTTTAAAAACGTATATACTTCTTTTAGCTCTCCCTTGCTCCCCGCAACTGCATAAGCGGCGACACGGGGGCTTATGCCTCACACGGCTTTAGAAACACGAGAGCTCGCGCTCATGAACGGCGGTGACTGCCTGAGTGGTTTCACGGTAGGAAACGAAGCAACGTCTATATTATTATTATTATACTTCAAGTAATAAAATAGTCCAGTCCATTTTCATAATTAAAGTCTCAAGTGAAAACTATGCTTACTAATTATTTTCCTGCTAATAACTAAAATATTCAAAAGCTATAGGTTGAAAATTAAATGTGTCCTACATGTGACTACTTTTTGATTCCTCCTGCCTGACTTTCCTACAGTTCAATGTATAAATGCATCTCTAGTGTGCTCTTTAAGTATAACGTACGTACATATATTTAGAGAGAAAATCAAAATGGCTTTATATGAGAACTATACATTTATTTAGTTGCTATTTAATCACCTAATGTTTCCTAAAATTTTCTATTTTGAAATTTAGAAAGCATAATTTATCCAATACTGCCAGAAATTAGCCAAGGATCACCCATGTCTTTTGTCACAATGGTGCCATCAACTTATAAATTCATCTTTCCTGAGGAAATTTAGATTTACAAAAAATAAAGACCACATGTGTATGTGTATTTTATATATATACGTGGACAAAAATTGCAAAAAGCTCTGTTAAGTAAAGCTAAACATGTTTCTTTGAAATAAGGTATTTCAAAGGATTTTGAGTGTACAGTAGGTACACAGACTATGCAGTATTTCCAAATTGGAAGCAGACTCTTTTTTTTCTTGGACCAATAAGTCACTACTGTTCCCTTGGAACTTTCTTATTAAGACCTTACAGTAGCTCACTAACAACACAGTTAAAACTTATTTTTTGCAACTAAAGTAACAATTTCAATAATAAAACTTTAATTTGTGTACCATTAATGATGGTACTTGCAAGAAAAAGATCATTCAGGACTCAATTCCGAAGTTGAAATAAAGGACATTCCATTTACATTGGCAAGGAAGCAGCGTTTGACTATGAAATCATGCAACTATTTAATAACAACTATCAGACAAACACACTTTTTGCTTTTACTCCTTAAATTAAAAGAAATAAAACATCCTATCCTTGTGCTTAAAATTTGATTTCTAGTAATTTGTTTTTAATTATATCAGTGGGTGTTCCAGGCTTCTCTCCTATTTCATACTGACTCTAACTGAACACATCGCTTGCCAGCATGGGAAGAAACAAGTAAACAGTTGAGTAAATCGCAGCCTGCTCATCTGGAAGAGCACACTCTGGCACAATTACGCTTCTGGGTTTGTATGGTGCAATACCTGGACATCTATACAGCTTTCTTGCCTGTGCAATATCTCCTTTGCTTAAACGAGTTCGCTGACCAATTGCGGGACGTATGCCATTATCATCACGAGAAGGGAGAATAGTGTCCAGGAACATCCCCCTGAAAAAAATCAGAAGCAAGCCACACATAAGTCACCCAATTAAGATACATTTACTCCTAGCAAGTATTTGCAAGTATTTGGGTTTTTTTCAAACTCAAGTCAATCAAAGGGGAAATACATCAGTGCTGAGCTTTAAGCAGTGCGCCAGACTTTCAAAACACTTTCATCAAAGTAGAAAAATACTGTGCACTAAACATGTATGCCTAGCATAAAGTCAGTGATGACATCCACTTTTTCCTTAGAAATGTATACTATATGATTTTTGAAATCTAGAATTCTATATATTCCCATGAAGTACACATGGCTTTTGTTTTGGTCTCTCAAACAAATCTAAGAACCCCTTAGATTACCAAATTGTAAAACAGGTCTTCTTCATAGAGACATTTTCTTAAGGACAGCCTACAATAAGTATTTTTGAAGTTATTAGGTTTGTAAAAGTGAGATGAAATACACATATATAAATGTATATAGGTTAGTTTTTTAGGTTAAACTACTAATTTAACTTTAGTATTCTTCTAAGAATACTTCTTCCAAGTATAGTATATGTTAAAGAACAAGGGAAAAACAAAGTGTCAAATTTTAGATAGAAGAGTTTAAAGCAAAACAGTTTTGTGATATACACATACATACACATACACAAGGTATAGAATTTTCATGGTAAAAGTAATAATTAGATAACTAAGCAACTACGCAACCAAGGTATAGATACTGAATTGTTCATACTCAAGGTTGTAATAGAAACTCACTATTTTATTTGCATTAGCACATGACTAAAAATTCTGAATATATTGCACAAAAAATACATTTAATTTCACAATTAATATCAACATTTATAGCTCTAAGAAAGGTCAGATGGAATGGGAAATTACTCCAAGTGGTAAGAATGGAGTGTGTATTTAAAATTTTTTTTTAAAAAGAGAAAATTTCTGTAATTAAAAAAAATACAATTTTAAAAATATCTCTTAAACTGCAATGAATGAGAGACCCTCCTTTCCAAAATTTTTAAATAACTAAGTTACATCTAAACTTCCAGTTAAAAGAACATATTCAAATGATGGCAGCAGAGTCGGTGGAAGCTACACTCACCTCCTCCCAGGACCAAACTGAAATTACAACTAAATTACAGAACAATCATCCTCAATAACCGACTGAAAACTAGCTAAGGAGAAGTCTCATAACCAAGAATTTACAGAAGTCACACTGAGACTGCTCCAAACAGGTTGCTCAGGGCCAGTCATAGGCAGTGTCTGACATTCCCTGTACCAGAGTCCTGCCCAAGAGGCTCCAGAATCAACACTCCCAGTGGCCAGCTTCAGACAGCATCAGAGCAGAATCCAATAAGCTTTACAAGTGGCATATTCAAAGGGGGATCTCATAAGGCACCAGACGCTGCTCAAGCACACCCTGCTTTGTGTGGTCAGCACCTGCACAGCACACGCTAGTCGGGGTAGAGCCTGAGGGCTGATACCATGCATGAACAGGCCCATAGCGGTCAAGATTCAGTTACAACAGGAAGGTCCACATGATCCACACACGCGACATTCCTGGAGCACCCAGCTCTGGTGATCAAGAAGCCTGCACCAATGAACCCCACAGGTGAGTGGGGTTGCAGGGCTGGTTGGAAAAGGTGAAGAGATTAAGCAAAAACAAAAACAAAAAAACCACAGACACAGACAACAGTACAGTGATTAACACAGGGAAAGGGGAGTGGGGGGAGATAATAGAGGGTGAAGGGGGGGTAAATGGTGACGGAAGGAGACTTGACTTGGAGTGGTGAGCTCACAATGCAATATACAGATGATGTGTTACAGAATCGTTCACCTGAAACCTATATAATTTTATTAACTAAAGTCAGCCCAATAATATGGATTAAAAAAGAATAACATTTTCAGTTCCACTTATTTCTTCCTATAGGAAATGTTTACTAAGAACTGTTATAGGTCTGGATATATAGCAGTAAATAAAAGACACAAAAATTCCTCTCCTTATGATACTCACATTCTAATGGAGGGGGGAAGAAAGATATTAAACAAAAGAAATGACAACTGAGATAGTGACAGGTACAATGGAGGAAAATCATCTGACAAAATTCAACACTTTCATGATAAAAAACACTCAATAAACTTGGCACTGAAGGAAACTACCTCAATATCATAAAGACCACATATGAAAGCCTATGATAAATATCATATTTAATGGTGAAAAAAATAAAAGTTTTCATTTAAGATCAGGAATAATGCAAGACTACTTGCTCTCCTCACTTCTAGTCGAAAAAGTAGTGGGAGCCCTAGCCAGAGCAACTTGGCAAGGAAAGGAAGGAAAGGGCATCCAAACTGGAAAGGAAGAAGTGAAATCATCTTTGCTGATCGCATGATTTTATGTGTGAAAAACCCCAGAGTCTACCAAAAAAGGCTGTCAAATCTAATAAGCAAATTAAAGTTTTAGTATCCAAAATCAACACACAAAAATCAGTTGTATTTCAATATAGTAACAATGACCAATCGAAAAGGGAATTAAGAAAAAAATACATTTAAAATAACATCAAAAAGAGCCCTGACTGGTGTGGTTCAGTGGGTTGGGCATTGTCCTGAGGACTGCAAGGTTGCCAGTTCAATTCCCAGTTGGGGCACATGCTTGGGTTGTGGGTCAAGTCCCCAGTTCCAGGTGTGGGAGAGGCAACTGATTGATGTTTCTCTCTCTCTCTTTCTCCCTCCCTTCCCCTCTCTCTAAAGTTAAATAAATAAAACATTTAAAAAATAACATCAAAAAAAAATAAAATACTTAGGAATAAACCTAACCAAGGAGATGAAAGACTTGTACACTAAAAACTATAAAACATTGCTAAAGGAAATTAAAGAAGGCACAAATAAATGGAAAGACATTCCATGTTTAAAGATTGGATGACTTAATTTATGTCTCCACACTACTCAAAATGATCTATAGGCTCAACACAATCTCAATCAAAATCCCAATGGGATTTACTATAGAAACAGAAAGATACAGTCCTAAAATACATATGAAATTTCACAGGACTTCAAATTACCAATAATTTTTTGAAAAAATAAACAAAATGTGGTATAGACATGCAATAAAATATTATTTGGCCTTAAAAAGGAGGAAATCCTGTCTCATGCTACTACATGGATGAACTTTGAGGACACTGTGCTAAGTGAAATAAGCTGGTTACAAGACAAATATATGATTCCACTTAATGAGATGTCTAAAGTAGCCAAATTCATTAAAACAGAAAATGGAATAATGGTTATCAGGGGCTGCAGAGAATGATGAGTCTTTGTTTAATGCGCACAGGGTTTCAGTTTTGCAAGATGAAAAAGTGCTGGATATCGGTTTCACAACATTGTGAATGTACTGAACTATACACATAAAAATGCTTAAGATGGTAAATATTATGTTGGTTTTTTTTTTTGTTTGTTTGTTTTTTTACCAGAGGGATTGAGAGAAAAACAAGAGAGAGAGAAAGAGAGAGAGAGAGAGAGAAACTTCAAATACTTTGGAGGTGGAGGCTGAGAACTTTGCTAAATATTTCATCTCCTGAAATTCAGTGATTTAACTCTATATATGAATTGATAAACTTTATCTTTAAAAATCAAAACAATAAAATAATGTTAACTGGATCAATTTTTCTGACAGGTAGATATGGTCACTTTCACTCTAGAAATACAAGTTTATTAGGAAAACTGAATAGGGTAATTTTAAAACAATGAGACCCCGTAAGAGGCCAAGGCTGACTGGTATGCGGCAACCCCGGTGGCGACGGGACGGGCGGGGGCGTGCGCGGGCGGGGGCTGCGGGCCGCAAGAGCAGGGCGGTTTATGGAGAAACAACGACTGAACTGCAGAAGGAATATATAATAAGGAGAGATATATGTTTTAAACTTTGGTATAGAGTCATCATCTATAAAGAATAGGAAGTATAAATTTTTTTCTTCACCTTTTAGTAGTGCATGTGTCCCAAAGAATCAAAATTCAGTTTAGTTCTAAGTATGAGTTCAGCAGCATATGAGATATGCCCCTTGATAAACTGGGACCAAATTCCCATTTGTTACATGTGTCCATAAAAAATTCAATTTCAAGCACTGACCTAGAAATAAAGTTTTATAACTCTGTAAGAGTAATTTCAGGCCAAATTTATTCCTATGAAAACCTAAACTCAATTCCAGAAACAATAAATATGTGGATGCTTATTGTAATTAAACATATATACGCATGTATATATAAACTTTAGAACATAATTGTAAATATTATTAATCAATTTTAATAATAAAATTTGGTCTTCTCATAAAAACATAATTTACAATGTATCCAAGCATTAAGAGTTTATTTACATATCATACTTTTCACCAAAATTTTTTTTAACAAAATGGGGATTAATTTGAATTTTTAATCTTCTTCTTCACCCTGCCTTTAGAAACTGATGTTGATAAATTGTGAAATAATACAAGTGGGCCAAAAGAACAAGTTGAAATGGACATATAAGTGTAGAATTGGCATAAAATTGGAAAAAGGGTTGCCCTCAATGGTTCTAAATTCCTTACCTGAGAACTATTTGCTTGATGACATCATCTTTAGAATAATGTAATCAAACCCCAAATTTATTGTATTTTAAAAATAGCATTCAATAATTAATAAAATCATTTAAAAGTTGATAAATAATGAAATTCAAAATTATAAAAAGTAAAATATCTTTCTAACATGTTCTTTCAGAATTAAGTCAGTATAACAATTTTTTAGTATAACTAGTCCTTGAGCAATAGAAAATACAAGTCACAGAGAGTATAACATTCCAACTCAACAATGATGACGCTGTGAGACTTATGAATGCCTAATTTTCATTAAATAATGATTTGCCAATTTAACAAGCTGATTGGTTTATTTTAATTAAATTTGTTTATGATTTAGCAATATTAAATAGTTTGAATACTTCATAACATTTTAATTTTTATTCTGTATTTATGTATGTGATAGGAAATGTAAAAATATATTTTTAAAATCTCAAATGCCTGGTGTTGGCTATAAATATTAATCAAGTATTTCTGTACTTTATGAAAGCAATATTTGAGAATGCTCCTGGTCCTAATGATAGACATAGCTTTGTGAGAAGCCCCACAGAGGAAAGGAATTAAAAGTCAAAAGGTATAACCTGAGACTCCAACCTTGAGAAGGTGTTCCTGGCATAGTGCATGATACTGTCAAAATCATATCTTTCTCCCAGGGAGTTCACTTCTCCAGGCTCCATCTTCAGGAAATTATACTCTTGACCTAAGAATCAGTCATGGACAACATTTCAGAAGCCTTCCGCAGTTAGAGAAAAGAAGAGCTCTCTCTACGCCTGCACCTTCTCTTTACTAAATGGCTGATTTTCATGCACACTGTAGTTACATAGTAACACCCACATCACATAAAAGTATCCATCCAGTGCCACTGTGTTACTTTACACCACATTGAAAGTGTAATACTGGATTTCATTAATAAATTAACTTTGGCAAAAGAGTGGATTACCAAAGGCATACTTTAGGTCTGGTTTTTATGTATACTCTTTATGTTCTCATACTTATTTCTTTAAAATCTTACGGGGTTTTTTCAGTACTGTAGAAATGATTATAAAAAAGTTACATTTTACTTAATGAGTTTCCCACCTTTCTCTTATGACTACATTTGCCAAGACCGACAAAAATGATCTTCCTATTTGCTTTATATTCTTTCTTTGAAACAATGAGAAAATATATAAAAACAATATTTGTAAGTACACACAACACAGCAGATTTTAGCTATGTGACTTTGTCACTAAATGTAAGACAACAGCAACAAATTTCATTCAAAACTTAAACAAGAATCTCCTTGATGAATCCACTCCAAGCTCTAATTTTTGATTAAGAAGAATATGCTTTTTTGATTAAGAAGAATATGCTTCAAAAGAATAAGCCTCCTTCTTGAAGGCATAGTCTAAAATGGATCAAAGTAATCCAACCCTTTGACCAATGTGGCTCCTCTCATAGTCACTGAGTTTGCATATAAATCAGAAGCTAAAGTCTGCACTTATTAGACATTGCCCTTGAAAAACACTTGATCTTAACTTTCTGAGCCAAAGTAAGTCATAAATTTGTGGTTCTTACATATTAGAATTGTCCTGTTATGATAGTTCCAAATGCTCAGGAAATACCACTTAATAAATTATTTTTTTCTGTTGGCCTGAATGTAGAGTCAACAAAACATATAAATAACCATAATTTGCTTAGCACTGTGTTAAGTATTACACACTTATATACTATTTATATATTTCTCATTTGTTTTAGGTACATAAAATATTATGTTGAACCAGAGTCCTTAATAAGTTCTGTCTACCTAATAGAAGAAACTTAATAACTATGGTTAACAGAAAACTTCTCATTTAATTGACAATTGAAATAATTTTCAGGGATATTATTTCCTCTTTATTTCTTTCCTAATGATATAAAGTATAGAATGAACAGCTGGCTCAAACATTAGTCTTTTATTTTGGGAGAATACATTGTCTTGTCTTTTCTTTGATATTCAACACTACAGATTATTTCATCATTCTTGAAATGATCTTTTCTCTGAGGCACCACATTCATTAATTTTCTGCATCTTAGACCAAAGCTTTGTAGTACTGTGGAGGATTTTCTATGAAACGTTGTTTTAAATAGTGGTGTCTTCTATCCTCAATCATTTCCTCTTCCTTCCAGTGTCTCCCTGCATAGTCAAATTCACTATCAAATTCCTATCCTAGATACAGCCTAGAGTGTAGGCTCACCTTCCCTTTGTTTACTAAATAAACATTTTAACTTGGATCATCCAAAAGCTTCTCAAACTCAGGGATATGCTAAATGAAATCATTGTTTTTCTTTCTCCCTCTCAAAAATATTGCCTCACATGATGTTCCTCTTAAAATATTTTTGAAAAATTATTCCCTCTTACTTCTCCTGACCTATGGTACCTTAACTGAGGACTTAGTCATCTCATAAACTACTTATTTAAGTTTTTAATGAGTTTCCCTGACTTCAGGTTCACCTTCCCCACCCTCCCTTTTTCCCCATTCTCAGTTAATAATACCTAAAAGGAAAGAATTATTTTTTTAAAATCTGAACTCAATCTGCTTTCAGTGCTTTAATTATTCTCCAAGAGCTCAAGTATAAAATCCAAATCTCCTAGCTTCACTTAGAAGATCCCCTATGATCTAACTACCCTAGGAAATTACCAGCTAATCTCCCACTTGTGAATTCCCATGCAGGCACAATGGGCAAATACAAATAATTTCATTTTCTGTTTTTGCATCTTTAATCATGATTTTTTTTTTCAGCTTAGAAATTCCATCATTCTTTTGTGCACTCAGAACACTCCTTTACTTGTAAATTTCAGTTCCTTTGTGACAGCTCCCTTGACTCTCCAAGGTATATTTTGTCACATTTGTCACATATGTCTCAACATATGACCATTGTTACTTTGCTCACTCCCTTGCAATTATGCGTCTATATGTACATATACACTAAGCTTTGCATTTTTCACCACAGCATTTCCTATATAATATTGCCTCAAGAAATAATTGTCACCAAAAATGTGATGTATAAATCAATAGATCAATGTTGTTGTTAATAACTGGAAATTCTAAGGAATTCAACAGTTATAACTTGAAACTGGCCATGAATAAGCAAATAAAGACCCATGTTTACTTTGCTTATACTTGAAATACATGCTACCTCATAAGAAGACTCCAACCAATAATGTTTTTTCTTTGGACAACTGAAATGTACTGATGTTTATGAATTTATGTGAATTAAAACAAATAAAAAGCTTTAAAATAAAACTATTATCACACTTCAACTGCCAAAGAAAATTAAATTTTAATTATATATTATATTTCAATTGCTGAAAACATTCTTAAAAAATTGGTCTTTAAGGTATCAGGTTAAGAGAAATCTCAAGGAAATTATTTAAACTATCCTGCAATGGCTTTTTTTCCCTGGAATTTTCTCCAGAAATTGTCCTTGGTATAATATAGATTCCTATGGTAGCAACATATTTGATGGCAAACCCTGGACTCTTTCTAAATCCTTATAACATAAATTATAAAGCTAATTATAGAAAACGCTTTAAAATATTTAATAATGTTGATTTATGGTTCAATAGCCTATACCTATTCATGGAAAACATAGTAGTTCAGAAATAAAAGAGCTAAATCTTTAGGGGGCGGGGGGAAGCAAGCCTAAAAAAAAAAACAACAAAAAAAATCGTTCATTCTGAAGAAAAAACAGCTTACCATCATGGGTATTTTTTAATCAAGCAAAATATTATACTATCATGGCTATTTTTTAATATTATTATACCATCACAGGTATTTTTTAATCAAGCAAAATACTGACTTTCATCATATCAAAAAATCAGTTCCCATTTTTTTAAGAAGTTAAAAGATAAATAGTACAAACACAACTAAAAGATTTTCAGTCAACCTTAAACCCAATTCTCACCTGGCTGGATGTTTTCTCTTATGATGGTTACGTGGTTATCACGATCTGGTCGCGTATGTTCATGCCAAAAGCCTATCACATGGCCCAATTCATGAACAACAATTCCAAATTTATCACAGTTCTTGCCAATAGAAATTGCCTGAGGTCCATTACCCCGCCGACCTACATAGGAGCAGCATCTGGGATAAAGCAGAGAGAGAGTAGGCGGTGGCGGGATGGGCAATGCTGGGTGAAGGACGATACGGTAAAACTTCTGTAAAGAATTGTGATGGAGTATAAAATCCAACACTTTCAGAGGCAGAACAGCTTTTTATTAATAAATGTGGCTAATTTCTAGTCTCTTGGTTAATTTATATATAACAAAAGTCTCTAAATAATCACTTGAAGTGCTTTTTTTTGTACTCATATATTAGCCATATGCCTTAAATCATTTTTAGGAGGAGAAGATAAATTACGATGTTGATTAATGTGCTATTATACATATAAACTCAAGACTCATCTACTCACATTTATATCTAATATACTTTTTTATCCTCACAATCTATCGAAAGCGTTATATTGTCAATATGGTTATCTGGCACGAATCCATGATTTCAGTATCGACTATAAAACAAAGTTTATACATTGCCTCAGCTGATTAATACAGGCTCTTCCTTTTATTTAGAGGAAAGTCTAAAGTACTTAAAAAAACTTCAAGATCCTACATAATTTTCACATACAAATGTCTTACCACACAGACCTCATGGCTTTTACTACTGTTCCCGCCATTCACTCCTCTTGAGCCACCTGGTCCTTGCTGCGCCTGAGGCTGCAGGCATGCCTTTGCTCACAGCCTTTTCACCGTCCCTTCCTCAGCCAGGAACTCTGTTTCCCCCAATAGCCAGCCATGTGTCTCATTTCCTCATCTCTTTCCAGTCTTTGCCCAGATGTCCTTCTATCCCACTGATTTACTTTTTGCCCTCGAATTTACGGTTTATCAATATACTTTATATTTCATTTATTTTCATATTTCTTTTTGCTGTCCCACCCTAAAATGTATGAACAGAGACCTCCCAAAACCAAACACACTTTATTTATAAAAAAGTGTGTTTATTCTTACATGTATAAACTTCAGTCACCTTCAAAGAACTCTCCATCTGCTGCAATGCACCTATCGAGATGTTTTTTCCCCGGCTCGAAGCAGTGTTTGAACTCATCCATTCTGGTGCTTTTAGTGCTTCTCCTGCCTTTTGTTTCACCTCTTTTGCAGTGGCAAAACATTTCAGTTATAACTTCCAGTTGTAAGTTATGAGTCTGTAGATTTTCTTCAATACCCCTTTAAATTCTTTAATTTTGAGTTACATACAATGTGCTTGAGCTAATATGTAAACTGTTAGTGTTTTTGTGGTCCCTACTTGTAAATCAGCGCAGGCACATGGGGTTAAGCTGCCTGCCCTCATCGCTGACGAGGGCAGGAGAGCCAGCAGCGGGAACGCGGCCACCGTGGCTGTGGACGGAGCGGAGCTTCATTGGGCACAGCTCAGAAGTGGCTGAAGATGAAATATGTGAAAGACACCCACTGATAAAAAAAAGGACAGTAAAGGCATTCCAAGTGACTAAAATATCACGAGCAAAAACAGGAAGAAATGATAGTGAATGGGGGAAAATAGTTTAGCAGGATCAAACAAGTGAAATAAAAAGTTTTGAAAAGAGCCAAGTGAATAAAAGACAATGAGTATAAATACGAATTTGTTATACACAGAAAATAAGCAATAAAACTAACAAGTGATCAGTGCTTTTTTAATATTTGTTTTACAAAATTGAAGAGTGAGGAAAAAAGATGTATTGATCTGAATACATTATGTATTTAGAAATATGTAAGCTGAGCTACATCCTTTGCTATTAAATAACCAGAAGGAAAGACAGCCTAGATTTGGATCTTTTAAATATTAAGTAGATATCAAGAACTAGGAGGCATTTCAAAAGTAACCAAACCCTATCAAGCTAAAATTAGACTAACTTAAAGAAAATATTACTTGAGTAAGTCATAACTAAAAAATTATGACACTACCCAAAAATATATAGAAAATAAGTAATGTATAATTTTTCTTAATGTTACTCAAGGCCAAAATTAAATCCATCACTTTTAAGTTAAGTTAGATGATCTAGGACAAGACGATAGCACAAAGCCAAACGACAACCCTCCACCACCATACCTAGTGGAATGTATCCCCCACAACACATCATTAGGGGAAGAACTATTTCCTCTGAAGAAATCAAGCATTTGTTTTTATTTCTCTATATAAACTATACCAGAGGGTATTCTAATAGCTACAAGTGATTAGAGAAATTTCCTCCTTATAGAAGAATTGCAGATAATCAGTGTAGGAGGAATAAAAGAAAAGAACGCCATCAGAAAATCACTATTTGGCAGTGACAGGAACTTTTCTGATGGCAGGACATGGCTGTCACCACTTGAGTCCACCGATCCATCACAATCACTAATGTGGCGGGTTCCGGGCTTGTGAGCCTCCTGATGTGCCACAGTGTAGACAGTACACCGTGTCAAGTACTCTTAGCACACCAGCAAACAAAAGTTCAAGCTGGATTAAACAAATAAATTCCAATGACCTGAAAATGCAAGGAAGAGGCGCTGGAAAACTTTCACAATAAAACATCCTTTACAGTATACAGCATTACTTGAAGAGCTGCTATTGCTGCAACTTGGCCAGATTACGGGATTTGTGGAAAGATGGGGTGGTAGAAGCAGCTACGGGCGGAACTTGTGGTAAGTTCATGGCATTCCTTAAATGTTATACCAAGGAATTTGGATTTTATTCTCAGGCTAGCATTTCCCAAAATGTGTCCCAGGATACTGATGTGTGTTTTTCACTTTTAAAAGGGTGAGATGGGTGTTTCTTTTTAAAAATAAGTTTAGAGAACCCTGCTATTCTCTATTCCTTTCAAATAGCTGAATATTCATAATGTGCATCAACACACAGCTATAGAAATATCTACCAAAATTTCAAACAGCATTTTCACAAATTACAGAATAGTTAGTTGTTTTAGAGAGAGTTTTTGTTATCATCCTGTAAGAAACAAATCTAGAAAACACTCAAGGAAGAAACAGTGAAGGATCTCGAAAAGTGTGGTATGCTGCTGTGACTGGTATTTCGTGACGATAATTCCAGTGGCAGTGAATTGATATGGCAACACAGGAGAACAATTGGAAGAGACCAGGTGTGAGGTGACAAAGACATAAATCGACTGAGGAACTGACGTGGGAAGGTGGACACCAAAGGACACAGTGCATATCAATAGATATTTACTAAAATCCATTGCTGAAGGGATCTTAGAAGAAGCACAACAGAATCACTAGACGATGATCCTGAAGGTTCTAACTCAGGGTCACTGATCAAAGACTATATTTACTTAATACAGAATACTTCCTTTTGTAGAATACATTTTCTCATGGACAAAATACTAAGCATATGTTAGGAAATGAATCCGACCTGTGAATTTTTTTTCCCCTTCTAAGTTTACTTAAGGCATTCCCTGGTTCTACTCACCCACAAGGCCTGTATGTGAATACGATGTAACTCTCTTCATCACTTCTTTCAATGAAAGTCACACACGTGTGCTTTTCCCAGTGCCTCATGGCCTGCTTGAACATGGCTCGCTGGCTGCCTGGAGAAACGGCATGACATTAATAAAACAGTGTCTGCCTTGGAGCGGGGTGCTGCACGCGGACTCCTCTACCCACGTCTGGCTGGGCAGCTCAGATGCCACCACTATTGTCGACCAATGAATACCGGCCTGGAGCTGCACCAGCGAGTCGTTGTTAAGAATGGACACTCGCTTTATAATTGGGATGTTCAAGCTTACTATCTCTACAAATGTGTGTGTACAAGGCCCTGTAAGCAGGACATACATTCTTCCTGTCAGTTAAAGAGAAATCAGCTTCCAGGTTTAATGGACACATTTGAAACTCAGTTTAAAACCCAGAATTGTACTTGAGACTCTTAGAACTCAAGACTAAAGGTATTTTTCAACGTGAAGGTATTCTAAACTAACAACTGAAGTGAGGGAAGTATTTCTCAAGTTTGACTTAATACTATGTTTTCTAGATTAATATTCTATAAAAATGTACACTTTATCAGTATAATAATTATTATTTATTTACCACAATAGGCACTCGGGGAATATCTTACCAGTGAAGTTGCCTCCTATAACGTAAGGAATAACGCCTCCAGGCCATATTCTGTCAGTTCTTGATGTAGCAGCTCTAGGAACTCGATTTTTCTCATTTTGCCCTGAGAATTTTAGAGGTACTTTTTCCTTAACTGTGTTGTTTTGTTCCGAGCCTGCAGCGACATTTAAAAGATTCTGTGAAACAGAAGTCCTCGGTCAGGGGATCATCTACCTCTTAAAGGACAAAAGTTAAAATGTCTTATTTACATATTTGTGTAAGTATGCCTGAAGTTAAAATGCATTAAAAAAGTCCTCATGGATATTACATACTTGAAAAAGCATTAAGATATTTCAGTATATCATGTCAAAATGCAACTTTTTAATACTCTATGAGCAAATTTTAATGAATTTTCCTACAACAGCCTACAGGAAGTAGAAGTCAGGCAAACTTCGAAGGTCACAGAAAAATTCTTTAATGTTAATATAAGTATTCTACTTTACTAGATCACTAAGAAATTCACCACCAGAATAAAACACAAAGTTTAAAAACCCCTGTGATAGTCAAAACTCTTCTTACTCTTGCCAAATCCCTAATCCTTTTTTTGGGGATTGATATTCTGTAGTACAGATTAAAATTATGAATATTGTATCATAGAGTTAATGAATGAAATAACTTCAAGACAGATAAGGGCTCAGTGTTCTGGGACAATGGGTTATCTCCATTCCAACTTCCCCTGAATTCATACCCGGGGACATGGCATAATCAGTGCACACAGTGAACAGTTCAACATAAAATGCAGTCTATTCTGGGGCATCTTTCCAATCTGTAGTTGTTAACTTTTCTTGGTGGCCTTTCATAAATTTTTGTTACTAAATTTGCATAATTATTTTTTTCTTATTCACCTATCATTGCCAGCACAAATATCCTGCCACTAGTATACACTTCATACACAAGTATTGACTATATATGCCTTATGCCCATATCCCTAACATCTTTTTCTAAATTTTATTTTCCAATTACAGTTTACATTCAATATTATTTTATTTTAATTACAGTGTACAGCATATTTTTTAATATCCCAGAGCAAAGCATCTTCACTTAGGAAAATTAATACTTGAATGTGATTTCAAATATTTAATAACGAACCATCAATTTAAGGGATGTTAGGATTTGAACTTTGAACATTCTTTTAAAAAACTCAAATCTACAAATAGGGGTTAATACATTCAATATTATAAATATTAACTAACTATAAAACCAAAGGGCAGTTTTTTAAAATGTTTTTCTATATATATTTTGGAAGGGTCAAAAAATTTCAGCTACTTTTGAGTCTAATAAATCAGTTTGTCAATTTACTTTAAGTGAATTTTATTTAAAAACAGCCATGATATTTTTCATTCAGTTAAAATTGATATAGTCTGATGCTTGATAAAAACACCTTAGCGTGATACACAATTTACTAGAAATAAGTATCAACAACAAAATAAATACCTCATACATTTTAAAAAAAGAGAAGCTGAAAATAAGTTAACATAACATTTCAATTGTCCACAATTAAGTTCTAGAAAACTTACATCAAGTATCAACTAACAAAATAGAAATAAGAAACTCTTTCTTAGCATACATCCTTCACATACTTTGCATCATAATGGCAAACTGAACTGCTATGAGTATAATATTTACTGTACATCAAGTCAAGCGTCTGCAACTTTAAACATTGATATACCAGAGCCAATTCTTCTTATCCTGTCTATAAGCTGGTAGAGGGCCCCTCGTTTCTTTGACATACCATGGTCTCCATATCCACCTTAAGGAATAAAAGAAAATAATCAAATTAAACACTGTATTTTAAAGTTCTTATAAATAAACAAAAGTAATAGGCTAGGTTAATTTCTCTTTGGATATCTTTTTTATGTAGTCTTAGAGAGTTTGAGTCATGACTATCCATAAATCTTAGAAGATAAAAATTACACATTAACAAATTTGGGAAACTAAAACCAAGGCATGGGGGAAATCCAGAGAGCATTCGAAATGACTTTATTTGGACATCATGGAAATTGAGTCACCCACTGATAATGTGAAACATTTTTCTTCACTGTGACCATGACATCACATAGAATGACAGCAAGTTGTTCTGCCCTGTTGGTTGCACTCTAGCTATTTCCCTGATGCAAACTAAATATTTTCAGATGTCAAATCAGCAAAGGGAACTAAAAACAGAAGAGCAAACGTATAGCGTGAGTTTTGCTCCACAGCTATGATCAATTTTGAAATATTTCTAGGAGCGTGTCATATTTTATAATACATATAATAAATTTTGAAAATTAGTTATAATACATAATTAGGAAAAAGTCCCAAGGTTAGACTTCAAAAGGATATTCAACTGCAAAATATATTGTGTTATGCTATGTAATTTGCAAAATTTACAAAAAGGGATGTAAATAATTTCATAACTTTAAAGGAAGAAGAGAGGATCAAAATAAGGAAATATATCTTCTTACAATTTTAACAACAAAGACTAGAAAAGGTAGATTCCTGTCATAAGTCAGGAAGCAGATCATTTGATGGAAATCAAGTCCTCTTATTCAAGGGCTTTCATAAAATGCTCTCTCAATTTTATCTTCTGGTTTTCCTTCTTCTTTAGTTTTTTTAATAGACAAATAACCAAGAAGGATCATTGAGCAAACAACCAATATGACTACTATGATCAGGACAAGTGTAAATGAACTCATACTACCAAGAGTGTGGTTCATGAGCCTCTGTGGCCTAAAACAAAAAAAGAGGACCGGAAATTCATGAAAATGGCACATTGTCCTTGGATTTTGAACTAGTACCTCCCAATATCTGTTTTTCCCTCTTTGAATTAATGCTCAAACTTAATGATCTAGATTGAAGCTAATAAAAAATAATAAAGAATTATTACCATATAAGCCCCTTATGAAAATCAATTAAGTCCTTATAAGGTAAATAAGTTAGAGTGCTCGCTCACTAAGATTCTGTTTAATTATCTGCATTACACAGTTACATTTTTGCTGTGCCCCTTGAGAAAAATTTTTGAAGTTTTTTTCATCAAACATTTTAGACATGAGGTAATACTTAAACGTAGTCATTCCTAAGCAGTTACAAGAAACATTCTTAAAAGATGGCATTTATATGTTTAAAGTGACCATTATGTAACAACTATATCTCATATTTCATAGGACTGAAATAGATTGTGAGGAAAAAAGTCTTAGTATTAAGGTAATTAGGGTTAATTACAGACTTGAAAAAACAATGTTTTAGGTCTATCAAAGTATATTATGTTTTTATATTTAGGGATTTTGAATAATTTTTACAGTCATTAAAATAAAATTCTTTCTAGATAGTTCAATGAAATAGAAAAAAGAAAAAAAGTAGTTATTTCTCACATTCTTAAAACAAAATAAAAATATTAAGGCTAAATAAATATTTATGGGGGAAACTATATATTTTGAAATTAAAAAAATAAGAAATACAATCAACTCAGCACAAGCTAAGAAGAAAAGGCAAAGATAGAGTGAAAAACTAAAACAGGACACTTTCACATTGAAATTCAACTGAATAGTGTAAGTTCCTTTCAAACATATGTACCTGTCACATGGCAATTTAGAATGTATTTTTTATGACTGACAATATAATCTGTTTTATGCTATTTATCTAAAAGTGTGGTATTTTTCTTCCAACTATTACTATTTCAGGGCTTAACTATAAATGAAATGACAAAATTAAATATTATTAAAATTTTTAAAGGATGGTATTTTTCTTCCAGCTATTACTATTTCAGGGTTTAATTATAAATGAAGTGACTAAATTAAATACTATTAAAATTCTTTAAATCACAAAAAATGAATGGTCCCAAAACGAAGGCAGATAATGAGTTAAAGAAATGACCTGAACAAAGCTTAAAGCTAATGAAAACGTAAATAAAAAATGAAATGTAACACAACAAATCTAGGATTTGCTGAGTTGTATCATTCCTCTCTTCTCCCAAATCCATTGTCTCTGTGGCCACGTTAAGTGTGGGACGCCAACTGGAGAGTTGTCAATAAACATGTATTATAGAAATGTACTACAGAAACGTACTATATGTGATTACAGTACAATGCAATGTTCCTCCTATATTTGGTGTCTGTTTCAGAAAAGTTTATCACTACATATAACAAAGGCTGGAGCATACTATTTTTAAAGAAGTGTGTGTTATCATTTTAAATAAATCCTTAAGTTTTATTATCTAGTATAAATATCTTACATGTGATAGTGGTATTTTGATTATATAGCATAATGTCCTTATTCTTTACAAGTGCTTGCTAACCTACTTAATGTCAGAAAGTTATGTTCTTTGCAATTAATTACAAAATGTTCTATACACACTTAATGCATGTAGGCACACACAGAGCAAATATGGTAAATTTAACAATTATTGAATCTGTAAGTGGGAATACCACTGTGTTGGTATCTCTTACACTATCCTATCTACTTTTCCATATGTTTGTAATTTGCCAAAATAAAAAGTTGCAAAAAAAGTAAATTGGACAGAGACATTAATTCACAGTAAAGAGGTGTAAGTCTAATTTTTGTCTGCTAGATGATGCAAATAAATTATATATTTTATTTTCCATAGAAGAAAATATAGTGTTGAATATAAAGGGAATTTCAATGAGATCAAAAAGCATAACACTGAATAATTTTTTCAGTTATAGCTACCAAAGAATTTTTAATGTGGCAATTTTCTCCAAAATATAATACAGAATAAAAATCATATCAAATTATTATAAAGAATTTTACTTTAACAAAAATATTTCAAAATGAAAACCCAAACAACCTTTTAAATATTACAAGTCTCATACGGGCACAATTCAAACATGTCAAAAAGCTATAATTAAAATTCTCTTCTGGGTTTTCATAAAAGCTATATAAGTAGGTAGATGAATTTTTTCAAATAAGTTTGTGTATAATTGCTCTATGAGTAATTTACATTTTGCAACTCACTATTTGCAACTGCAAATGGGAGGCAACTGAACACAATGCTCAAGAGTGTGAAATTTGGCTTTCCTCAGAACTGAATTTTGGTCCTGACGCAGACACTTGCTGGCTATGTGACAACAAGTGGACTCTATGACCTTTTAAACCTTTATCTCCTCCCTCGTAAGTCACAATTATCTTAGTATCTACCCTCTTGTGATTGTTAAGAAGACTCAAAGAGTTACTCTCTCCACACCACTTAAACCAGGCCTAGTACATAGCAAACACCACAATCTGTTGGTTAAATAAAGTAATAAAATAAAAACTATGAACAAATCTTAAATTTATAAATAGGCTCATCTGTGTCTAGGAAATCAAAGTTGATTAGAGAGATATTAAAAATGATCCAAAATGTATAGCATTTCAAGAATATATTTTCTTTGAAATGAATGCAAAGTAAGTCAAAATCAACCATACCTGTGGTATGTCCAACTTTTCCAAAGGGGTTCTGTGTAAGGTCAATTGTCCTATCAATTTGAAAGATATTTAAGTCTTCATCATCTAAGGCAATATCACCCCAAAACACAGCTAAAAAAGAAAAGTTTAATTAAGATGTAGAATATTTAAAAGCAAAATCAATGCAAACAAGGATCATTAGGAAACTATCATAACAAAAAAAATGTCTCTTTGAATCCAAAAGTAATCAACTCCTTAGTACTGCCAGATATCAAAATATTATAAATGTAGGAAGCAGAATACTTAGGAGAAAGAATAAGTTAATCATGAGACAATAAAACATTGACAAATGCCTTGAAAATGCTGGGATATTTGCTTCTTGATACAGGTTTACAAATTTCCTTTTTAAAATTTTGCTTTAGATTTTTCTTCTGTGAAACCAAGAGTAGGAAAATACATGAAAAATTTATGTAAAGTGACGAAATCCATGCTTTTCAAATCACTGTCCTTTACTGGTTCAAACCTTAATATTATATATTTTAGCGATAAAATTAATAAAATTAGTTAACTTATGAAATTTAAACTTGAATCCTGAAAGTTATACAATGCTTTAGGCTTTGATGGAAGGTTTATGACACAGAATCATTTACCCAGTTTAATTCCCACATTAAAAAAAACTGTCATGAGATAAGAAGAGCTTGGATTTATGTGTAAATCCAGAAAGAAAGTAAAAATTAGCTCAATGTAGTTTATCAGTTCAACATACAGAAAACTTTTATTAGAGTTAGAATTTTCTCAATAACCCTTCTTGCCTGCCCCCATGCCAATGGGATGGCAGTCTGTAGAAGAAAAGAGATGCTTCCTACCTTTTACTATCATAGCAACAAGTAATGAGAAGTGTAAAACAGTTTATGGCACTGGCGAAGACATTGATCTTGATACCTAACACTGAATCCAGATTCTAACCAGCTTCACACACACACAATAGAAACTTCCAATCCTCCATGGCCCCTAAAGCCAGACACCCCAAGAAATAGATGGACTGCTTAAATAAAGTATTTTGCAATTATATAAAAGGCTTGTTAGTTTTCATAGAAGTAAAGTTTGCATTGGCTTTTTTTTTCCTTTCAAGATTTTACCGTACTTGAAGGTAAATCCAAGCTTACAAATTATTTCAATCTTCTATCACGCGTACTTGTTATGCAAACAGTTGTGGGCTCTGACTGGGTCTGACTGACTCTCAGCCTGGCTCTCCCTTTCTTAGTGCCGGGAGGAGGCTGGAAACACTCAGACAATACTTCTCTAGCATCCATTTGCATCGGAATCACAGTGGACCTGGTTAAAATGCAGGTTCTGATTGAGTAGGTCTGGAGAGAGGCCTCAAATGCTACATTTTTAACAAGCTCCCATCACTACAAGTAATTATCATTGTAATCATCTTTATTAGTAGTGTTTCTTTTTCCCCTGCAAGAATAAACTTTTACTCCTCTCTGAATCAGATGGTTGACTTGGAAGCGGAGGCACCCAACCAAACAAAACACAAATTGTCAGTGCTACATTTATATAATAAAAGTAGTGTGGTAAAATAAAACTCAAATGTGTTTTAGATTTTTATTTTCCTGTAATGACTTGTCACATGAATTCGGATTCATGTCTTGATAGATGGTATCAAACACAGAACAGCAATCCAAGGACACAACACTTCACAGAAGCAAAAAACATTACTTCTGGGGAGAAGAAAACGTACGAGGCCAGATGACTTAAAAAGAGACAAAGCTATTCTGGTGCACATAAGCCCATTTTTAATCTATTGCTATTTTTTCTGATCTAATAGCTTCGGAGTAGCTCAGTGGTTCTGAATATGCCATGAACTGCTTCAGGAGAAAACCAAGTATTTCTTTGAGAACAAGTAGGAGTGAGTGACTAAGCCAATTTAATTTATGTGTAGAGTGTAGACTTGATAGATTGTAAGTTTTATATATCTTTAAACTGGTTGGGGGGGATTTGGGCAGAGGAGAGCAACGGGGGGAAAACTGGGACAACTGTAATGGAATAACAGTTAAAAAATAAAATTTAAAAATTAAATAAAATAATATAAATCAAAAAAATTTAACATTATCAAAAGAAGAAAATAGACATCTTAGAAATTTCAACCTATCACATTGTTTTAAAATGCACAATTTCTTTCTTTTATAGTTCACACATTTGAAGATTTCCTTAATTCTTCCCTCTAGTTAAATCAAGGTGTCCTCTTTCTGTGTATTAAAATATTTTACTTATGCACTGGTATAACACACTGGATCATGACAATTTATATTAATATGGATTTAGAGTTTGCATTATAATCTGACATACATTTGTTATTTAGGCTTTGAAATATTTGTAACTCTTAAATGCACTTTGGAGTTATTTTTGTTTTTCTTTCTATTTATTTTGCATTAAAAAACAGAACTAAAGAGAAACAGTTTTAAAACTATGGATTATCACGCACTGTGTTAAATCCTATTTAACACGGTGATTTGAGGTTAGTGACAGCGGAACTGAAAGCAACGTAAGACATGGCTATAGATGACAACACCAGGGAAATGCTCATGTGCATTTAGAGTATTTCCTATCTGGAATTCCACTTGGATTCCTATGGTCAGAAATGGGCTGGGAGCTAACCAATAGGTCAAAATAAAATGTCAAGAAGAACAATTGTTAAACTACATGGAAAACCACAGGTTTCACTTTTCTCCTGAAGGCTATTTGCATTCATCATACTACCAAAAAATTTTTAATCAGAGACCAAGAAAGACAGAGTTCTTTTATTATAGGAAACAAAGTAAACACATTTTATAAAACAGTGTAGAGTGAGAATAAACATTTCAAGATTGTGATTCCCTACATCCTAACCTTACTTTGACTTAATCTTGTTTTTTTTCCATTACCAGTTAGTCCCCCTATAGTCCCCTCCCCCAGCAGTCACCACACTGTTGTCCGAGTCCATGAGTCCTTTTGCATTTTTGCTCAATCCCTCCACCCTCTAACGCCCCCACCCACTAGCTGACCTCCTGCCCTCCATCTGTGAGTCTGTCCCTATTTTCCTTGTTAGTTCAGTTTGTTCAACAGATGCCACATATGAGTGAAATTACATGGTATTTGTCTTTTTCTGACTGGCTTATTTCATTTAGCATAACTTTTTCCAGCTCCATCCATACTGTTGTAAAGGGTAAAATTTTCTTTTTGATGGCCAACTAGTATTCTATTGTGTAAATGTCCCAGAGTTGTTTTATCCACTCATCTACTGATGGACACCTGGGTTCCTTCCATATCCTGGCAATAGTAAACAACGCTGCAATGAACATAGGGGTGCTTATGTTCTTTCAAATTAGTGTTTTGGGTTCCTTTGTATATATTCTCAAAAGTGGGATAGCTGGGTCAAGAGGCAGATCCAGTTTTAATTTTTTTAAGGTACCCCTGTACTTTCCACAGTGGCTTCACCAGTTTGCATTCTCACCAGCAGTGTAAAAGGGTTCTCCTTTCTCCACATTCTCACCAGCACTTGTCGTTTGTTGATGATGGCCATTCTGACAGGTGTGAGATGGTATCCCATTGTGGTTTTAATTTGCATTTCTCTGATGGTTAGTAACTTTGAGCACCTTTTCATATGCCAATTGCCCATCTGTATGTCCTCTTTGGAGAAGTGTCTGTTCAGGTAGACATTTTTTAATTGGGTTCTTTGTTGTGTGTGTGTGTGCGTGTGTGTGTGTGTGTGTGTGTGTGTGTGTGTGTTGAGTTTTGTAAGTTCTTTATAAATATTGGATATTAAGTCTTTATCAAATGTATCGACGAATATGTTCTCCCATTCTGTGGGTTGTCTTTTCATTTTGTTGATGATTTCCTTTGCTGTACAAAACCTTTTTAGTTTGATGTAGTCTCATTTGTTTACTTTTTCATTTGTTTCCCTTGCCTGGGGAGATATATCCGATAAAATATTGCTACAAACAATGTCTGAGATTTGGCTGCCTATGTTTTCTTCTAGGATTTTTATAGTTTTTGGTCTAACATTTAAGACTTTGATCTATTTAGAATTTATTCTTGTACATTGTGCGAGAAGGTGCCTAGTTTCATTTTTCTGCATGTGTCTGTACAATTTTCCAAACACCATTTATTGAAAAAACTGTCTTTAGCCCATTGTATATGTTTCCTTCCTCTGTTGAATATTAACTGACTATAAAGGTGTGAGTTTATTTCTAGGCTCCCTATTCTTTTCCATTGATCTATGTGTCTGCTTTTATGCTGTTCTGATCACTGTTTTGTTTGGCCTTATAGTATAGTTTGATGTTAGGTAGCATGATTCCTTCAACTTCGTTCTTTCCAGGATAGCTGTTGCTATGTGAGACCTTTTGTGGTTCTATGTACATTTCTGAAATGTTTGTTCTATTTTTGTGAAATACATCATTGGAATCTTGATTAGGAATTGCACTGAACCTACAGATTGGTTGGGGTAACATGGACATTTTAGTGATGTTAATTCTTCCTATCCATGAACACGGTATGTGCTTCCACTTATTTGTATCTACTTCTGTTTCTTTCTTCAGTGTCTTATAATTTTTCCGAGCACAGGTCTTTTATATCCTTGGTTAGATTTATTCCTAGGTATTTTATTCTTTGTGTAGCAATTGTGAATGGGGTTGTTTTCTTAATTTCCATTTCTGTTAGTCTGTTATTGGCATATAAAAATGCAACAGGTTTCTGGATATTAATTTTGTGTCCTGCTACTTTGCTGAATTCATTTATCAGTTCTAGTAGTTTCTTGGGGGAATCTTTGGAATTTTTCTATGTACAATATCATGTCATCTGCAAATACTGACAGTTTTACTTCTTCCTTTCCAATTTGGGTGCCCTTTATTTCTTCTTCTTGTCTGGTTGCTGTGGCAAGGACTTCCAAGTACTGTGTTGCAGAAGAGAGGTGAAAGTGGACATCCCTGTCTGGTTCCCTCTTTTAAGGTGAATGTGTGTAGTTTTTGTCTATTAAGCATGATGCTGGCAGTGGGTTTGTCAAACTTTAAATTATGTCTGTTCCACTCACTTCCAGTTTTGAAGCTGTGGGCCAGGGACCAGCTTCATGGGGGCTTCAAGTCTGTGAT